TTCTTGTGTATGTACATCTTCTACCGTTGTTGCTAAATGAAGCGGCTATTCTTATTCCTAGAATCCAGCAGTGGCCAGGAGTGTCCAGCAGTGGCCAGGAGTGTCCAGCAGTGGCCAGGAGTGTCCAGCAGTGGCCAGGAGTGTCCAGCAGTGGCCAGGAGTGCGTGTGAATGGTGTAACTGATACTTACACTTTCCACTACCAAATAAAATATGTTTCCTATTTATTACATATTGAATATAGGGACAAGAATGCTCGCTCCATGCTTTAGGCATTTATTTAGAAACCGTATAGTGTGAAAGCTACCAGGTACCAGTGCTTACTTTGATGTTAGTTGCGCACGCATACTCTCAACAGCACAGGGACGAGTGACATATCACGTGATGCCCTCTATAGTTTAATTGTTACCTACTAAGGCTTACACATGCGAAATGATCATACCTCACCACTGCTGTGTAGATTCTGGCTGCTTCAAGATATTATAATAACTAAGAATGTTTGCATAATCTTTTCTGACTAATTAGGGTACATCCTCACTGCCTGTGTCGGAGTGCATATTTCTGATGTATGAGGACCCAACAGCGGGTACAAATAAACCACATCTATAAGACGTATGTGTACACGTAACTCGAGTACTGAATCACGAGGAACGTCCTGAGGTGGACGAACAGCCAGGACTGTCCACCAGAGTCAACAGCCAAGGAACTCGATAAGGAAGAAAAAGAAAAAAGAAGAAGAAGATGATGATGATGATGATGATGATGATGATGATGATGATGATGATGATGATGATGATGATGATGATGATGATGATGATGAGGATGAAAAAGAAGAATAAGAAGTTATATGATGAAAAACAAAGAAATGGAAAGCACTGTGTTGCAGAACATATCATTTGCTGAAGATGTGGAGGCAGAATGAGAGAACTGATCCTGGATGGACAAAGATGATATCCTTGAGTATTAGTGTCAATCAAATGTGACCCAAATCAAAGCACCTGACCACACCTCGCCTCCTCTTTCCCCCTTTTAAAGGGAACAAGGATGGGATGAGCACCTCTACCCCTACCCCCCCCCGTACCCCCCCCCCAAAAAAAAGCCCCTGCTCAGAAAAGTGGGTGGATTAAGGGACCCCTTTCTCTAACCATTAAAAAAGAGTTCTGATTTTAAGTATGTGTTTATACATTTTCATACTATGTCAGATAAAAATTTTATTGTTAAAGCAACATATAATAATAATAAAACAATGATAATAGTAAAAACTATATTACTATTACTCACTTAAAAAAGGAGCCGCACCCCTTAGATTTCTTTGGGACGGCTCCACTGTCGTCAACAGTATTGAACCAAAACACAGGAGGAGGCGGTGTAGAGAGGGGCGGTGGAGGGAGGGGTGGTGGAGGGAGGGGGTGGTGGAGGGAGGGGTGGTGGAGGGAGGGGGTGGTGGAGGGAGGGGATGGTGGAGGGAGGGGTGGTGGACGGAGGGGTCGGCCCGAGACATTAAAACCTATTCTTTTTATCAAGTCACATGATGATGATAACTGTGAAACGAAATGGTCTTCTGTCACTACTACAGTGACACACCTACGTTTTGTTTCTACCTCACAGAAAGAGTACAACACCTGTACCCTCCAGACGAGGCATCATCTTTCGACGCATCTAAGTCACCTTTCATGCTGGTCCCAGGAAGCCACATGTCCAACACTATGTACGTCTTATGAATAAAGACGCAGTGTGACTGAGTCACAATTCTCTCTCTCTCTCTCTCTCTCACTCTCTCCCTCTCTCTCTATCTCTTTGTGTATGTGTGTCATTTGTCTTTGTGTGTATGTGTGTGTTGGTGTGTGTGTGTTTGTGTATCTGTGTGTGTCTTTAAAAAATAAGTATAAACAGATGTGAAAAAAAAAAAAATAAGAGTTAGTTAATCGACAGATTATTTCATTGCACATCGGACAAGTCCATGAGCTGTCAGATCCCATTTCCAATTTAACCCTCAGCATATGTGGCGACTGATAACACCAGTTTTATTTTTACGAATCTTCAATGGCTACTTGTAAAGTCTTCTTGTCTGGTGACACCTCTTTTTACCTGAAGTTTATGTACTTTTTGAATGTTGCTGACTCAACGTCGTCTACAGAAACATCTACTCGTCCCGCGTGCTTGAATGCAACGAGAATATCAGCTCCGCCGATTGCTCTTCTTCTACCCAACTTAACCAGTTCAGCAAGCAATTTCGTTCGTTCTTTCCCTCTTACTGGCTGGCACACACACACGAACACACACACTCACGCGCACACACACATACATACATACTACACTCACACACACTCACACACACAAACTGAACTCTGTAAGACGAGAGATTTCCACGGCGACTCCAACTATTTTCTTTGAATCCATTCTGTTTGGTGAAATGGGAAATAGGGCGTTAGTGGGTCATTGCTATGATACTAAGAATGCACGAAATAACTAAACACTTGATATCTTTCCTTTCGCCAGAAGTCCAGTTTTTGTGAATGTGTTCGGTCAGACATTTTTTTTTTTTTGAGTGCGAGCAGTAATAGCAGTGTAGAAGCATTGAACACCGATGTCTATCAATGTTTGTATTGCTTGACTAGATAGAAAACCTTGGTAGTCGTTGAGGTGTCATCCATATAACTCTTGCATTTCCCCTCTCGGTTCCGAGTAACTCATTGTGGAGGTTGGAAAATGGGGAGGTGGGGGGGGGGGGGGGATTTAACTCATTGGCTTTCACCAAGCATGCCGAAAAGCCGACTAGTTGGGCGTCTTTCCTTCCAAAGAGTACATCTACCTGAGTGGCGAAGAACTAACAGTCTGCATAAGAATAAGCCAGATATGTAAGACGGATGTGCACTAAAAAGTGGTAAAATAAGGAGAGTAATGAATCTTTTTTTCTTTCTGTGTCAGACACACCAAGAAGAAGCCAGTCAGCGAAACAAGAGTTTATACAGTCGGCTATTATGATCCAGAGAAAGAATTGCAGTTTCTTGGACGTATGGAATTCGATGAGGTAAGTGCAGACTGTCTTCCAAGGTAAAACTACTCTGGTTTCTCTTCACAGCGCACAAATCCAGGGTAAAACTACTCTGGTTTCTCTTCACAGCGCAAAAATCCAGGGTAAAACTACTCTGGTTTCTCTTCACAGCGCATAAATCCAAGGTAAAACTAAAAAGAACTGTTCTTTTGGTCAACTAACAGTAACAAATATGAACCCTAACTATAACCACTGAGCAACATCATAACAGAGATAAGAATTTTAAGAGGGCAGCCGGAATAACAAGCAGAGATTTAAAAAAAAAACACACACATTCAGAAAGTAGATGAAGGCCAGGAATGATACAAATCTTACAATTTGTTAAAGAACAACAGATGAAATGGTTTGGCCATCTAAAGAGAATGCCCTGGTTCCCGCTGCCACAGAGGGCATGATTTGCAAACTTCCGTCTTTTCAGAGGATAGTTTTTATATTGCGCTTTGAAGAGGCATGGGAACCACAGCCCATGGCAATGGCGAGTGTGACTAGCAAGACCCACCCATCCCCTTTCCCTTTCGTTGCCCTCTCACCTCGGAGTTAGGAAAAGTCTTCCACAATTATAACATGGCATTTCAGGACCGTTGTTGTCAACATTTGTGTTTAATCCGTTTCTTCTCAGACGCTCAGCTCTCATCCTTTCTGCAATCATTTCTTTCTTCATTCTCATTTCCTTCCTGATGTACACCCTCCTCACAACACGGTCTATGGCATTTTGTTCCTATGAGTATTTACAATGGAATCAAGGCCGAAAGGTTGCGATATCCATAATATCGAGCCTAAGGGTTAACAGCTCATGGCTTCTGGATACTAAAACAAACAAACATCATTCATGTCCCACCTGCACACATCTTTAGCAGTAGAGGTCGGCCTCAACACCTTTACCCGTCTTTAATTCACCATAAAGGACGTCCTTAGGGACTCTGCCGTCCTCCATTCTTCAGGTGTGACCCAGCCACATGAGCCTTCGTAGACTGAGCACTGCGAAAACCGTTGTAGTACCTGCTCTTTCAACTACCTCAGTGTTTGAGATTTCGTTCTGCCACCTAATGCCAAGTATTCTCCGTTGGCACCGCATGTGAAAATGATCTGGCTTTCCTGGTGCGAATATGTTGACCACGTTTCACCGCCATGAAGCAGAGTGCTGTGAAAATAAGCCTGATAGACATAAGTTTTGTTTAAAAAGAGCAACGCTGAATAAAACCATAGAACGTGAAGGAAAGGAAAGGCCGCGTAAGCATGGAACGACGACATCAAGAACGGCCTCAAAGAAATAAATATTATCTTACGCATCTTTATTTTTGTCTTGCTTGCCTCGTTCATATTGTTTAGAAGCTAAACCAAGTTCTTTATAAATTTTCATTTCCCTAATTGTAATTAAAAAAAAAAAATCTTGTTAAACCCTTCTTGCTGCTAAATAATGTCTATTTGGATTAAATAGGTAGTCTCTTAACACTTGTGCATTCTGCTGCTTTCTATGATTGCCTGTCAATGCTATTTGTGGGTTTATCATTCTGTTTCCATTTCATCAAGAAGAGATTGAACACGCATAGGACTGTCCTGAGTGGAGTGATGTCAATTCCTCATTAATTCATTTGTTTATTCATATGCCTCAAATGATTTCCCATCTATTTAGTTTTATGATCCCAAGGGTCGAACAAAAAGTTGGGGGGGGGGGGGGTGCGTTGGTGGAATAGACCCATTTTTCTTCTTACTAACTTGTCGTAAAAGGCCACTAAAATGTGTATTTCCTCGGAAAGAGTGAACCTCCTGTTAAATAAGGAACCAACCGTCGTCATACCAATGTACCAGATTTGTAAAACGGATTTGCACACAAAAGCCGGTCAAGAGCGCTAAGAAGAAGAAGAACACCTTGCCGTCTTTGCTTATCATGTTATGATAACAGTTATCGAATTAACATCTAACAGTGTGAGTACAACAACTGCAAGATGACCCAAAACAAAGAGTTAGCCGACGCTGTCCTCTTTTACGCCGTCAAACTGAAAAATTCGCCACCACCACGTTTCAGGCGCAAGCCTGGCCAGATGTAAGTTTTGTGTGTGTGTGTGTGTGTGTGTGTGTGTGTGTGTGTGTGTGTGTGTGTGTGTGTGTGTGTGTGTGTGTGTGTGGATCGACTGCGTTCTCCTAAAGACAACAATCGTTTAATGCTGTTATGTAAACCCCTGTAGGCCACACCATTTGTAGGGTGTTCCGTGACCCGATATGGAGAGCAAACATCAAAGATACGCTAAAGAAACATAACAATTCCAATAAAACATTATTTAGTCTTTAAAAAAAAAATCGAAAGTCACATATAAGGTGGGTAAAGTTTGTGACTGAAAACATGTGTGACTTTTGCTGGGGCAGTTTGACACACTCTTCTCATCGTCCAAAGTTATCAAACATGCATATGTCTCATTGTGTCTTCATCTTGCGTCGCCGAAGACCTTTTTCTTGTCAGTTATGAATGCTCCATGGCAGGTATTATCCGTAAAGCGTGGCGATCATCGCGTGAGAAGTCCCTGGTAGTTAGCAACCTTCAGATATTGTCTGAGGGTGTATTAGGAAACGAAGAGGCCGACAGACTGACAGGTTCCGCACAACTTGGTGGTGAACTGATATATGCAAGCTAGATAATGTAAGGGCCCTTTGGGAGCGAGTGAACAGCGCAGAGGCACAGAGGGATCATTACGGTCTAAGGAAAATGGGGCTGCTAGTAGTAACCGGAGATCTGTTCGACCATCAACGAGCAGGGGGAAAGGAGAGGATGCACATACAACCAGACTGTTACTGGTACTATCAGATTGGAAATCTACGCTTGCTGTTGAAGATGGGGACGGATCGCTTGAGGGAATGTCCCGAGTGTTGTGGTGTCGATTCCTTATTAAACAATGAATTAAACACATTTATAGTCCAATAAATGTCTTATCTGGTGTCTATCTAATATAATGTTGTTTTTCACAAGCTGGGTTTTTCACACTAACGAGGCTCCGTCCAGATTTTCTTGGTTCGTCAGTCTCAACAGAACTGGCATTCGAGACCAGATCAACTGGACCATGACGCACAAACTGGACAGCGATATACCCATTGTATACGGGAGACTGATGGAGAGTGAACAACTGGTGGAGAAGGACTATGGTCAGTGAAGACAGAATGATGACCCCATCATCATCATCATCATCATCATTAACACCATTATTATTATCATCAGCATTTATTTATTTATCATGATCCACTGCCACACTTCCACGGTCACAGACAGAATTACACCACCTCCTGATTTCACTGCATCCTTAATGTAGTGACAGCTGCTACTACTATTGCCATCAGTACTAAGATTACTACCACTACTACTTCTGCTACTACTACTACTACTACCATTACTTCTACTACTGCTACTGCTACTACTACTACTACTACTATTGCTACCACTAATACCGCAACTACGGCTGCTGCTGTTGCTGCTGCTACTACTACTGCTGCCACAACAACAACTATTACTACTGCTGCAACTACTACTAATACTGCTGCTGCTACTACTGCTGCCACAACTACTACTGCTTCTGTTGCTGCTACTACTAATACCACAACTGCTCCTGCTGCTACTACTACTGCCACAACTACTAATGCTACAACTACTACTGCCACCACTACCACTACCGCTGCTACAACTAAGTTAGTTGTGCATCCTTTACAAGAACTCGCTGAACCAACCTCAGTATTTTGTTGTTTGATATTAATAGGCACATTTTTCGTTTAGTAGTTCCATTGTCGAACACCATTAATTTTTAGTGACTTCACCGGTTTACTGAAAATTTAAAACGAACTGCTTCTGTTTACATATTGTTTGTGTCGGCATTATTTAAACTTACTAAGGAAAAATTGTTTTAAATAGTGAGTAATGTTTTTATTGGAACACGTCTACAGATGAGATCTACTCTGGGAAATCCAGAACCGCTGCTTGGTTCGTCAGCCACTGTCCGGTGAGGTCCGACAGGAGCATCTATGTGGCCAGGATGCAGACAAGGTGCGAGTTTAACGCTGGCATCCACACTTAACCAGTGGACTTGTTAACGCCTTCACATTTTTAAGATCTGTATTCGCCCCAGGTCTAAACAAGTCTGCCTCTGTCACATCTGGTTATTGTAGGGTTTGCTCTCTCTGCATGAAAGCCTACACACCCACTCAACTATTCCATTGCACGGCTCCTGAAGATTACTGTACGCATGCGTAGTCGCCACAAACTGTAGAAGTTAGGTCGTTTATTTCTGCCCCAGGCTTACCGAGTAGTTGATCCCGGGTTTCGACCACCGTTCCTCCATAGATGGCAAGGGGTGTTGTAACTGTATTCCGGAAAAACTTTTTACGACAGTCATCGGACATTTCACAAGATAGAATTTGAGTAGATTAATCTATTTCTAGACAAATAGAATGATTGTCGTTTGAGTTATATGGTAATTAAATAGTGGGTTTAAACATAGTAGAATCATTAACAAATGTCGAGACCTTCTACATCAAAACTGAATGACAATATCTTTTGCTCCCAAAAAGCAGACGATCGTAAAATGTTACTTGCCCGTTGCGTAATGACAAAAGTATAAATTGATGATGTTGAGGGTGTTGTTGGTGGCGATGATGATTGTAATGATGATTAACAAAAGTCGATGCCCCAACCTTCTGCACTCGATCTGAAAACTAAAAAGAGTCCATACTCATATAACCACAGACTCTTTCAATTTATGATTACATGATTACCAGTGATTATATGCCACCTTAAATGTAGGTAATAATCCACAATACATTAATAGTTTATAATTAATTACAGTGTGGATGATATGTATGTATGCGTATATGTGTGAATGCATGCATGTGTTGGCGTGTTTGTGTATGTCTGATTGTGTGTCCGTATGAGTAAATGTATAAGTTTGTGTGTATGTCTTTGTGGATCTCTGTGTGTGTAAGTGTATGTCTCTGTGTGTGGGCGTGTCTGTGAGTGTGTCTGTGTCTGAGTCTGTATGGCGTCCGCGTGCGTGTCTGTGTGTGTGTCTGTAGGTGTGACTGGGTGTGCGTGCCTGCGTGCGTGTCTGTGTGCGAGATTTTCAAGATGTGGGGGAAACACGTGAGCTACATGTTATAGCATAGAAAAGGACAACTTGGCATAAATTAAGACCCTATGCTCCTTTGGAGGGTAAAGGATAGAAGGAGGAGAAATATGAGAAAAAGAACAAAACGCAGAAAAAAGACGAAAGAGAATCTGGTAATCTGGTAATTTTAGTTTCAGCTTCATATCAAACGGGTCACCCCATCTTTGCTCTGCTCCTGTGCCAACAAAAAACACACAGAATGTTTATTACAGTTTCTTGTGGAAAGACTGACAAACTGCTCTCTCAGCAAATCTAAGATACACTCGCATTAAAAGCATATGGTAGCCATCCGAAGTGCTAACACAAACAGTCCGACATTAGACATGCAGTTCATCATTGATGGTAGCAAAAGTCACCAAAAGATCAGCAGTTGCACACGCGATCAATTTTAATCAAATAATGGCCCCACCAATATTGCGACACCCGTCATCGCGCCATTTTCCGAATCTTCAAATCACACCACCACGTTGGTCAGTCGAAAAACATTCCAAATGAAATCTGCAGCTCACAGTGTCACGCCATGCACTCAACTCAGAAGCTGGGCAACGAAACAATATACTTCCAGTCTACAAATGGAGCAAAAAAAAAAAAAAAAAAAAAAGCAACGGCCACAGTCTTGCAAAAGCAAAAATTCATGTCTCGGCTCAAATAGTGGCAGTGCATAGTGTCCATTTGGACCTGAAGTATTATGTGAGGATTGATTTTTTTTTTTTTTAACGTATCCAGAAACCATGAGTTGTAAACCCTTTGGCTCGGTACTATGGATATCGCAACCCTTCGGCCTTGATTCCATTATAGGTACCGTTAATCTGGGAGAAATGTGGCTTTTCTGCCTACCCCCGGGAGTGAACCCGGACCACAAGGAGTTCGTCACCCGGCCGCCGCGAAAGTCAGGTTTAACCAACTTCGCTAGAGAGCCGGGCATGAGGATTAATAAATTGTCACCCCAGCAGTACCCTACTAAAGAGAAGAAGCAGAGGAGGAGGAAAAAAAAAGAAAAAAAAAAAGAAGAAGATGAAGAAGAAGAAGAAGAAGAAGGAAGATGAGGAGCAGAATGAGAAAGAAATAAAAAATAAAAAAATTCTTTTATTTTTTATATGAGAAAGAAATAAAAAATAAAAAAATTCTTTTATTGTAGATACAGAAACAATTAGAAGATCGTTTCAAGAAAAAGAGGCAGAGGTTGACTAGTAAAAAAGTGGACATCGCAGTCCGAAGTATAAAGTTTCAAAATATAATAAAGCATTGAAACCAGTAGTGGACCGAGAGGCACCACTGACAGCGGTGATATGAGCGACGTTCTGAAAAGCCATGCCACATGATAATGGCATCCTTCCCGATGCTACATCGTCTGGCAGTGGGTACAGCAGGATTATAGACAGGCAGAGAAAAGCACCGGACAACTATACAGTAGCATAACTTACTCTGTCTATAGAATTGATGTCGATGGGTTTGGGGCATGTGGCACTCTAACTTGTGGCCAGGCGGAGAAAATCCCAGGAGTTGTTGCCTTGCGGAATGACGCTGACAGGGACACTTGCTTCCCCTTGCTGTCCCAAACTTACAAGTGAGTTCATGACTCTGTGCGATATTCTCTGTTATTTGTCACAAGTTTGTGAGATATTCTCTGTTATTTGTGACAAGTTTGTGAGATATTCTCTGTTCTTTGTGACAAGTTTGTGAGATATTCTCTGTTTTTTGTCACAAGTTTATGAGATATTTTCTGTTAATTGTCACAAATTTGTGGGATTATTCTCTGTTATTTGTCACAAGTCTGTGAGATATTCTCTGTTGCAGTGAATATGTTACACTCTACAGGTTGTCACGCGTTTTAAAGACCTTCTCTATAACCAATCAGGTTTTTGACCAAACTATTCCTGCCATACTGCCTTAACTAACATGATTGAAAAATGGCACCAGAATGTTAATGATGAGAAAATATGTGGCGGGGTATTTATAGACTTTAAGAAAGCTTTTGACAAGATAGACCATGACATTCTTATAAGAAAATTAGAAACAATGAGCCATGAAATTTAACACTAGGCTATTAAAGTAATAAAATCCTTTTTGCTAAATAGAAAACAAATAATCTGTTACAATAAATCACTATCGCAGACCACTGACTTAAATACTGGGTACCTCAAGGCTCGATTCTCGGCCCTCTGTTATTCAATATCTACATAAATGATCTTCCTTTATGTCTGTCGTCGTCCTGCGATTTATTGCATCTATGCAAATGCTCAAACATGTAATGTACTAGAGTCCTCATTACAACAAGAAATAAATAATGTAGTCCAATGGAGCAGTGCAAAGAGTATGCAAATAAACATTAATAAAACCAAATCTAGGCTAAAAACGACCAGACAAAACCTATACAGTTTAAATTATCAGAAAACGCTTCAGCTCTACATTGGGAGCACTCAAGTGGAAAATGTAACTGAGCACAAGACACTGGGGTTGGTCATTGATGCAAATCTAACCTCCAGCTCTCATGTACACGCACTTGTGAAACAAACAGCTAAAAAGGTTTACCAGCTTGCAAAAATTAAAAACTTTCTTGATGAACACACAAGAAAGATATTTTATATTTCTCACATCCAGGCATATATAGACTATTGTTGCAATATGGGATGGCTGTTCCAGCTCTGTTATCGAGCGGCTCACATCATTGCAAAAGCGCCCCATTCGCTTAATTAGTAACAATCATGGGACAGTGAGCTCCGAAAAATATAAAGTTTTTAGGTTACTACCGCTTAGTGAACGTCTACTTTTCAATAAGGCGAAATTTACTTATAAAATATTATATCAAAAGGCTCCATGTTACTTATGGCCGTTGTTTAAATATAATGAAAGGCATAGTAAGCGCCTAAACATATTACACATCCCCAAGCCTAGGATAGACCTTCACAAAACAAGTTTGTCATATTCCGCAGCTCAATTGTGGAACTATCTACCACAGCAAATCAAAAGTACCACTAGTCCGTATACATACAATCGGAAACTGTTCGAATATTATCTGAGCACCGATTATATGCCCCCATAGAAGATAAAACATATGTGAGAAATAGCGCACATTTTCCCTAAATTTGTTACAACTAATACGTTTTACTGTAGTTAGAAATGTGCACATTCCATTGCTTGTATTGATTATTCTGATGCTATGATAACTTTTAATATTACTTGATGTGTGAATGAAATGATGTACGAACGGAGGAAGACCTAAAAGGACAGAATGTTAGACGGGCCTGCGTGCCCAATTCCTAACCCTTTGAAAATAAAGTTTGTTCGTTTGTTCTGTCACAAGCTAATAAGTCAAGAATATGTAAGATAATATATGTTTTAAGACAATCCCTACTGCCTGACATGAGTCTGTAAGACATTTCCTAAATTTTTTTCAAATTCTCTTTCTTTGACCACTTTCAGCTAGGTCCGTTCACATTTCTGCTCACTTTCCTTTCAGCTATATTTGTGGTGACGTTTTCTGGTCGCGATCTTATTTGATTCTGGATTGTGTTCAATATTGTCACTTTCTGTTTGTTGTGGTTTCCGCTCTTGCTGTTGTTTTTGTAATCTGGCTGGCCCTGTGCTGCGCTCAAGATGATTGGATGTTGGATCGATTTATTGTGGTTTTCCTTGGCTGTTTGTTGTTTCCGGCGAAAGTAGATTGCCTATCCTAATAAGGACCGGCGGTCGATTGACTTGGGCAGGTACTGATGGCTATACTGCTGAGGTCTGGTATTATTTGGTGATTTTCTCGTATCCTTGTTGTAAAGTACTGCTCCTACATAGGGTTTCGGTAATTTGGCCTTGGTTGTGTCGTATCTGGTATTAGTGTTTGGGGTAACGGTGTCGACCTCGTTTGACTTCAAATTTTGGCTGTCGATGTGGTTCCTCTGGTGATGACCAAAAAACATCATCATCCTGCAGTTCTGAGTTATAGAAGTTCGGGTCCTCCATCTCCATGATGCGTTCGTTAATTTGGTCAACTGTTGCCAACGGAAACTGTTTCATCAGCGATGCCTGAGTTTTCTTATCTGGTGTTTGATGCGGCTTTTTCTGGGTCTCGGCTCCCTGTATTTGCTGCCTTCTTGTTGCCTCTTTCCGTGCTTTCTCTCTTTCTTCCATCACTCTGTTGGTTGCTTGCAGTTCCTTGTTAAGTCTGTTGTTTTCTTCGTATGCTCTTCGTAACTTTTCCTCTGTTTCAGCCAGTGCCTTCTTGATCATTGCGACTTCTTTCGCGAGAAGTTGTTGGTTATCCCGCAAATCATTGATGACCGCCTCGTCTTCCCTTGCCTTAGTTGGTTGTTCCTTTTGTGTCTGGATAGTGGCCAGTGCATTCATGATGTCCTCCTTAAATTTCGTCATCTCTGCTGTCATCCGTTTCTGGGTGTCAAGAGTCGCCTGCATTATAGCTCTCAGGCCTGTTATTTCATCTCTGTCTTCATCTCGTTGGGTTTTGGATGCGTCTTTCTCGTCTCTGAGAGCTTGGATGTCACTTTTGAGTTGAGCCACCTCGTTGCTCAATTTGGTGGTAATGGCTGCAGTTATGCCTTGGGTTGCTTCGTGTCTTCTGCGGGCCTCATGGTATGGAATCTTATCCCGTATGGCCGTGGTTGCAATTTCTCTACATTGTTGCAGATAGGGGCACCCCAGGTACCTGGTGCTGTGCTGGCCGTAGCAGTTGGCGCACTTTCTGTTCGTATTGGGTGACTTAAAGTCTGTGTCCAGCTTTGCCAGCGGGCAATTGTTGAAGGCATGGTGTTGTGAACAGTATCGGCATACTTCATGTTCGCTCACACAAGTGGCCCGGGAGTGCCATGCTTTTTGGCAACGAGAGCACTGGATCACCTGTGGCACGTATTGCTCTGGTCTTTGCATTCTTTGATCTAGGTAGACTTTATCCGGGATGTTTTCTCCTTCTGATGTTATCACCGCCACTGGCAATGGATGCCGTTTTGAGCCCAGTCTCTCTGCTTGGTTGATGTTGACATTGGGGTTTTTCTTTCCTTATTTGTTGCAGAATTTCTTCGTTGCTCCATTGCAGGTTGACTCTTCGGATCACCCAGCGTCTTACATTCTGGAAGATGGTGGCCGTTACAGTTATCTCCTCGGATAGTCGGAGTTCTTTCTTGCCGTCGTGTTGGATGTCATCCAGCATGTCTGAGGTGCGGTTGGTTCTGTTTAGTGAAGCTATCACTCCTTCTCGAGTTCTCCTAATCTTTGCGACTGCCCTCTTGCCTAACATGATCTCCAGCATATTGATCAATGTTAGCGTTGCCAGTGTAGTGATTGCTGTCCGGCCCGAGTTGGTCTGTCGTAGAAATATTGTGGCAGGAAATTCATAGCTGCCTGTCTTTCGTCGATCTGGAGATGTTTGTGGACTTGGCTGTGTTGGTTCAGGTGACGCTGGGACGTCACTCAGGGCCTCACTGGTAGTAGGGGCGTCTTCCTGTGGTTCGGTAGTATCTGTCTGCGTCTTCCTGGCCTCCGAGTTAGATCGGGTAGATCTGTCAGTGGGCTGTTTCCTCTGTCCGTTGCGCTTTCCGTTAGGTTTGTTTCTCCGAGACATGGTGCTTGCGGAGAAGGCCTCTCGCTCTGGCAAATACTTTGTATTGTGTTCTGTAAGTTTCAGTCCTATCTGGTGATAATTGCGGAGAAGTCCTCTCGCTCTGCCTATCCTCAAAGGGACCAGCAGATACTGTATTGTGCAGGTATCAATATCTGATGACAATTGCGGAGAAGTCCTCTCGCTCTGCCTATCCTCCAAGGGACCAGCATATACAGTATTGTGCAGGTATCAATACTATCTGATGATTGGCTGATAAGGTGGAGCCGAAGCTGTCGTGTCGATGCCGACATTTCCTATTGTCAGGAGTCAGTAAGACATAGTGTTGTCTGTCATATGTCTGTGGGACATAGTGTTGTCTGTCATGTGTCTGTAAAACACTCTCTGTTACCTGTCATGATATAAGACATCCTTTATAGACACGAGTGCATACGACGTTGTGTGTGGTTACCCTGCAGGTTTTACCTGGCCTTTGAGAACTCGCTTTGCCAAGAGTACGTCACGGAGAAGTTCTTCAAGCTCTTCAACAACGTCGATGTGGTTCCTGTCGTCAGGGGAGGTAATTATTGGTCGTCGTCGTCCTATTCTTCTTCCAACTTCCTCCCTCTAGCCCCCCCCCCCTTCCCCCCATGGATTGATACCTAAAGGTTTTACTTGACACTCTGAGATTTAAAGACCCCTAACTCTGGAAGATACATGTAAATTCTCAGATTTCCAGTTCAACACTAAGTAGTTATAACTGGGGCACCCGGTAATGATTTCACCAGTAATCTTGGCGTAATCTGTGGTTCTGTGCGGTGAAAGATCACCTACTATACGTACAATATTGATCAACTGATGATTTCTACCTCACGTTGCTGTCCCAATATGGGACGCAGTTTTTCATTGATTTAAAGCCTAACTCCGACTGTTGTCAGGGGCCCCAATATAACCTAACGGTAGAACAAGTTTTTGAGATTTCTGCCGGTGTGATTCTAATCCGAATGGCGCACTTTGTGTCAGCGGGTGTTTATCGCTAGTTGTAGGGTCCTGATGTGGTTGAACTTCATCTATCCAGTCAGCTGAAAATGTCCAGTTCTGTCTTCACTATTAAATCATAGATAACTGTGCTTAAAAAACATGGAGGCAAGCTCTTGTAATAGATTAGATACTTGTTTTTGTATCCAGAAGCCATGAGTTGTTAACCCTTAAGCTCGATACTATGGATATCGCAACCCTTCGGCCTTGATTCCATGATAAATACCGTAAATCTGGGAGAAATGAGGCTTTTATGCCTACCTTCGGGCGTAAACCCGGACCACAAGAAGTTCGTCACCCGGTCACCGCGCAGTCTGGTTTAGCCAACTGCGCTAGCGAGCCGTGTTTAAAATTTGTATTTTACTGGTGTTAATTACTTCTGTTTGCGTTTCATGGAGGAAAAAAATAACTTGTATCACGTTAGATAACTATTTTAATGAGAGGAAATAATTTAGATTATATTTACTAATCACATGTTTCAAAGGAAGAGCCACTTGTGGGAATGACTGAATGAAAAACTGAACCCACCAGTGCTGTATAGTTGGCGATAATACCCCGTGACGCACTACGACATCACTGGGATGATAATCAGGTCAAGTTTAAGAAACTCCATTTAACCGTAAGGTTTATTAGGGCTCCCGAATGTTACAACGTAACTTAAGTCTAGTCGGAAATTATTTATTATTCTAAAAAGTACATATGTTTCAACGGTAGATAAATAGTTTTTTTTCCCCTAAGATTCCCACATGCTACACGCTGGTGCAAGTCCAGCTTTTCTAAGATTCCCACAGGCTACACGCAGGTGCAAGTCCAGCTTTTCTAAGATTCCCACATGCTACACGCTCTAAGATTCCCACAGGCTACACGCAGGTGCATGGCCAGCTTTTCTAAGATTTCCACATGCTACACGCTCTAAGATTCCCACATGCTACACGCTCTAAGATTCCCACATGCTACACGCTCTAAGATTCCCACATGCTACACGCAGATGCATGCCCAGCTAGTCTAAGATTCCCACATGCTACACGCTCTAAGATTCCCACAGGCTACACGCTCTAAGATTCCCACATGCTACACGCTCTAAGATTCTCACATGCTACACGCAGGTGCATGTCCAGCTTGTCTAAGTTTCCCACATGCTACACGCTCTAAGATTCCCACATGCTACACGCAGGTGCAGACTACAAGAGCTATTTCCCACCTGGTACGTTCGTGGATGCGGCAGATTTTAGTTCACCGGAAGCTCTGGCTGATTACCTTGACGACCTTGGTAACGACAAATCAAGGTACATCTCCTACCTCAGAAACAAAAACAGGTAAATTCTAAACATGTGTATCCTAGCTACAGTCAGTTCTTGACCATCTTCTTCTTATTCTGCCTTTTTATCCCCCAATGGAGCATAGGCCCTCAACCAACTCACGCCAAGTCCTTCTATCCTTCGCTATTGCATGGAGCTCTCCCCATGTCCTCCCTATCTTTCTAACTTTATTCTCCACCTCTCTTCTCCGTTTTTTTGCCTTCCTTTATTCCTATGCCCCTGTGGGGTCCAATGCAAAGACATACTAGTTATGCTGTTCTCCTGTTTTCTCAGTGTGTGTCCTATCCAACGCCAGCGTCTTTTCCTTACCTCTTGGTCCACTGGAGCCTGTTTAGTTTTCTCCCAAAGTTCTACATTGGTTATTCTATCATGCCATTTAATTCCCTCTATTGTGCGCAGGCACCAGTTAATGAATGTCTGTTCTTGACCACAAGTGACGCTTAAACGGGTATATTAAATGGCCTGAGAAGATATTATCAGACACAGCAGATAAAAGCATTCAAATTTTACATTGTCTACTCTGAAAGGTTCATCTCTAATCTAAATGCTCTTCCGTTCTGTTAGTGTCTAATAATACCCATCATGCATTAGGTTTTCACAAAGAATTCCAGAAAAATTTGACTAAAAAGCTCAACAAAGTGGGAAAGAGGAAAACGTGCACAAAACAACACAACGTAACGTTTCGGCCAGGCAGCCTTTTTCAAACACAAGTGAAATACACAAACGAGGAATGGAGAGTATGTAGATCTCTAAGGGGTGACGTGAGCGACGTTTAAAAAATGTGATGCGGAATAAATAAAATAAAATAAAATAAACGATGGCTAAAAAATATATTCACAATACTGGGAATAAAAGAAATGCAAGTGTTAATGATACATAAATGATATTGATAAGAAATAGAATATGGTAATAATATAAAATAAAATAAAATAATTAACATTTAAAATGTGATAAGATTAGAACTATTTAGATGAAGGTATGTTGGATATTGATACCTCTTGGACTAAGAACACCAAGGCTGTGGATAAGGCGATTTTCCAAAGCGAGGCGGGTAGTATGATCGCCAGAGCAAGATTTTAATGCTGTGACAGATATGTCATCTTTACCGCTGTGGTCAGGGCTATTAAAATGAAGAGGGATTGGTTTGAGTGTCTTCTTGTCGATATCAGAGAGGTGTTCCCGGAAACGATCAGCTAGCTTCCTGCCAGTCTCCCCAATGTATGCCATGCTGCATCGTTTGCAGATAATTGCATAAATTACGTTGCGGGATTCGCAAGTAAAAGGTTCCCTAATTTGAAAAGAACCATTAGGGAAACTGACCGAAGAAGTCTGGACAACGAAAGGACATGTTTTGCAGGTGCTGCGTGAGCACTGAGTAGTCCCAAAAGGAAGTGCTGTATGGATCGGTGGGAGTTGGCTTCGGACAAGTATGTCTTTAAGGTTGCGATCTCGTCTGTAAACTAATCTAGGTTTCTCACTAAAGATAATCTTGGTGTCCGGATCAGAGCGGAGGATGTCCAAATGACGAAAGAATACTTTGGAAGCAACCACATTGTTAGGGTGAAAATTCAAGATCAATTTAGGTCCATCATTGGTGGAGTTACGTTTGGTAGGAAAAGCATCTCTCCTGGTGATTGCTAAAACTTTGTTTAGAGCCCCTTGTAGAATGTGTTCCGGATAGAAACGAGCACGGAAGAATTCAAGAAGTTCAACTGATTTATCAAAGAAGTCAGAATCGTCAGAGCACAACCTGCGCAATCGAAGGAGCTGTGAATATGGAATAGAATTTTTACACGGTAGTGGGTGAGAGTGTCGGCTCTGTGGCTAAGTCGATGCGAACACTTCGCTTCGTAATGCCGGGATGCCGAGTTCGATCCCAGCTGCGGGCAATGCGCCTTGCTTTGGTTTCGATAGTGGTATCAAGAAAGCCGACCGTCCAGAAAGCAATGGCAAACTACTGGACGTAATTTGCCTAGAGAAACCACACAACAGCCAGGGGCTGTTAGGGTTGGTTCTGCAACGTCCTGTAAAGGATACGCAACAACCTTTTAGTGGGTGAGAAGACGTATAGAGGAGATAACTGTGAGAATCTGTGGGTTTGTAGTAGGCTGTGGTTTTCAGACACGGGAAATCGATGCTAATCGTGATGTCAAGAAAGTTAACTGAAGTGGTGGAGATCAGTGAGGTGAATTTGATAGCCGGATTGAAATTGTTGATGTAAGTAATAAATTGGTCAAGCTCAACCATGGACATTTCAGTGATACCAACGCCATCATCTATGTATCTCCTATACACCTCCGGAAACTTGCCCGGGTATGATAAACTGACCTCGTGTTCTAGGTGGCCCATAAAGAGGCACGCGTAACTAGGACCCATCTTGGTGCCCAACGCAACCCCACTGATCTGGTCAAAATACTCACCATTAAACTCAAAAGAGTTGAGGGTCAGTAGCAGTTCGGCAAGGCGTACAAGAACTGAAGTAGGGATGATCGGGTTGGACCTTCTGTCCAAAAAGAACTGGAGTGCTCTAAGACCATCAGAGTGAGGGATAGACGTATAGAGGGAGCATACGTCTATCAGGAAAAGATGATAGGTTTTACCGGGAAGTAGTCTGATGGATTCGAAAATGTTGAGGGCATGGTTGGTGTCCTTGACAAATGAAGGGAGACTGGTGACAATCGGTTGGAAAATACTATCTAAAAATTCAGAAAGATACACCGTGGGACAGGAGCATGCAGATACAATGGGACGTCCAGGGTTGTTGGGCTTATGGATCTTAGGCAGCAAGTACATACACGGTTTGCCAAGTTGGCTGTCAAAAACACGCATATTGTTGGCCTGCTTAGGAAGAGTACCCTGTGAAATAAATGATTCTAACGTGTCCTTGACTTTCTTATTGTTGGAGACTGTGGGGTCGTCCCTTCTTGCAGAATAGAAAACGGGGTTTCTGAGTTGGGTACTGGTTTTCACATCATGGGAGAAGTGGATTGTCAACAGTTAAACACATCTGTGTAATCACGTATAACACAATGGAATCAATCAGTCATGTTTATTGTTTACATCTTAGTAGTCTTCTCGACCAAGCCTTACTTGACTGTTCGCCGTGTTTGTACGTCTTCTATTTGATATACGCGTGTTTACTGTAGATTAAAGGCTTATTGTGCCATTTATTTAGCTAGGTAGGAACATTCTAGACGTGTGGGTTCCGGTGAATTATAAAAAAAGTCTTTAAAAACAAAAAAACAAAAAACATTTTAATGGAATCTGGTTGGTTGTTTGGGATCTGGTGTGGCCATACTCAAGGTCTCAGTGTTGACATACATGGTTGTTTGGGATCTGGTCTGGCCATACTCAAGGTCTCAATGTTGACATGCATGGTTGTGTAGGATCTGGTGTGGCCATACTCAAGGTCTCAGTGTTGACATACATGGTTGTTTAGGATCTGGTGTGGCCATACTCAAGGTCTCAGTGTTGACATACATGGTTGTTTGGGATCTGGTGTGGCCATACTCAAGGTCTCAGTGTTGACATACATGGTTGTCTGGGGTCTGGTGTGGCCATACTCAAGGTCTCAGTGTTGACATACATGGTTGTCTGGGGTCTGGTGTGGCCATACTCAAGGTCTCAGTGTTGACATACATGAAGCGCCCTATTGGCTGTTCCTCTCAAGGGTGCTACCTAAAGGTTTACCCTCCTGAGATAGCAGAAATCTCACTCTGGGTATCAGACCAACAGGCCAGGTCTCTTATATCTTGTTCAACCTTCAAAGAAGTTATAACTATGCCACCATAACCGATAATTGGTATAACCTGCAGATAAGTGGGAGCTAAACACGTCCTAAACTCTCAACAGCTTGTCTCTATCTGTCGACCGTTCATACCATTTGCAGGTACCAAGTTGTGTGGGATTCCCCGACCTGGCAGTGCAAGTTGTGTGAGAAGCTTCACGTTGATCGTCAAAAGAAGACCTATAAGAACATCCACGCCTGGTTCACCACAAACTCTTGTGTGGACCCCAAGGATTTTCACTGACCTGCCGGTTTGTCAAAGGGCGTCTCTTGTCCTCAAGGAAATGAATCAGTAATTGTAGCACTACAGTAAATAACCGGAGTATTAAAAATAATCGGACAAATGTAAATGTTACCGTGCCGGACAAAGTAATATCTGTGTAACACGGGACACTGGTTCTTTTTGCTTGGTAATTTTAGAATGCCCGGTTCTGTTTTACGGAAGTTTAAAATTTGGGTGGAAAATCTCGTTTTTATAAGTGGTAAGGAAGACTGGGAGTCGCCGTGGCCGAGCGGCTAGATGCTCGCCGCGGATCGGAATGTCATGGGTTCGCTCCCTGGCGGAGCTGGACTATTTTCAAAAATGACCTTGGCTCCCAGGTCGACACAGCCTTGAGTGGGTACCGGGTGCAGTCCCGGGAAGTATAGGCGGCCGGCGTGTTGCTGACCACATCACCGATCTTGTGCCGATTGGTCTATAAAAATATAGGTCTAGCCCTATATGCCCTATACGCCTAAAGGCGTGGAAAAGGGTCCTTCACCTTTTTTTTTAAAGAAGACAGGTGTGTGAAGACGAGGGTCCCGAGGAGACGATTGACTACTGACGCTGAGGAACAGCAGAAGCTGTGGGTTTACAACCTCGCCACAACCTTCTCAACCCCACCCCCCGGAATGTTGTAGGAAGGGGAGCTAGTCGGCTACCATCCACACCCCAACTCCACAGACAATCTGCAGGGAGTTCAAGCAGGCCAGTTCTCTCCCCTAAACGCGTACATACATTCCCTTGTCAAATACTTCTTTGAAGTTTTCACATTGTTTCAAACGCATGTTTATATTTATTTTTCATTCAGATCATCATCATCATAATTATTGTAACTTTGCACTTAAACAAGATTTTTGCCCTTATGGCCACAACCCCTAGAAAATGTGTAAGGTTCATCAGCGCCCATCCCCGGCACCCCTTAATGTTTTCATTGCCTCGCCGCCCCTCCCCGGCACCCCTTAATGTTTTCATTGCCTCGCCGCCCCTCCCCAGCACCCCTTAATGTTTTCATTGCCTCGCCGCCCCTCGCCCTCCCTTTCTCCCGATATGTCATGAACCCTATACTTTTGTTCTCACTGTTAGAGATAAATGCGGTATGTATAAGATAGCAATAGATTTGGCATTTCACTAAAAAAGGGGTTTAACAAGAAGTGAGAATGTAACTAAGCCCTTTTTTTTTAATCTACCCGGATAAAAGCATTTTATGATATTGATGAAGTTGCCTTTCATTCTGTTTGCAATATATTCAATGAATAATTAAACATTTTATGTCACTGAAATTCATATATGGCTTTAATAGTTCAGCGTTTGTATGCACAGTACAACGCAGACATACATACACACACACACGCACACACACAACCACTATCATGCACAATCAAAACATTAAGTTGCATAGTTATGTGTCGTGAAATTTGACCTATCTGAAATCCACAGTGTATAACAAACTATCGCTGGACATCAAAAAGAGTTTGGGAGAACAAATAGCTCACAAAACAAAAACCCTTGTCTATGAGGCTGGTGTTCTCAGCACTCTGCTTTATGGCAGCGAAACTTGGTCAACTTATTCGCACTAGGAGAGACGGCTTAACAGCTTTCACATGCGATGCATAAAAAGAATACTTGGCATTAAGTGGGAGGACAAAATCACAAGCACTGAAGTACTGGAAAGAGCGGGTACTACAACAGTTTCCTTAGTCTCATGTAGCTGGGTCTCATCTGAAGAATAAAGGATGGCAGAGTCCCCAAGAACATCCTCTATGGGGAATTACAGACGGGTGGATGATATCGAGACTGACCTATACTAGGATATAAAGATTTGTGCAAACGGGACATGAAGAAAGAAATTATTATGGAAAGGATGAGAAGTTAGCGTCTGACAAGAAACACACTAACCACAAATGTTGACAACAACGATCCTGAAATTCCATGGATTTGACATTTTTAAGATAAAAATCCTGCTAAATGATGAAGGATATTGACCTCCACTATCCAGAAGTCGGAACTCGAGGCCCCCCCCCCCCCCCCCCCCATCGATTGTAAGATTGTATTCCGAAAAATCAATATGCAGTCACTCAACATGACTTCTGTTTTCCTGGTTTCGAGTTGATCCTACGTGAGTACCGAGGAGTGAATGACAACTGTGTAGCTGTGTGAAAAGTGATACTTCATTTCGACCTGTGGGGATCAACAATTCACCTGCCTGCCTTTGGGACACTGGAATGTGACAAATAACAGCTCTGTGATAATAGACCCACTTAGTGGTTTTGTCATTGTGCCAACATACTGAGAGTTACGGTAGTGTCAGTGGGTTCACTAAAATTTGATGTCAATGACACCCAGTTTATATACACTAATATGACAAGCTAATTCATGTACTTTGGCCACGTCAAACGGCACGGTCATATATAATGAAACTGCCAGAATAACAGCATCCATGAGTAGCATCCCCAAACTGATGTTTTCCAAATCCCACGCTCCCACTGGGTAAGACTTGTCTGTGCCAGGGCTGGCCTTATCAGCTATCTACTTACTCTCTAAACTCCCTCTCGAGCTTTCTTATCAAATGAAATGGCCACTTGTCATCATTTGTGATGCCGAATAACAAATCTCATTTAAGTACAACGAAGATCCAGTTAGCATGCCTTAACACGTAATTAACATATGATGCTAGGTACATATTTGTATATACCCAGGGACACTAGATGAGGTCATGTGCTCAGCAGCAGTCAAGGTGTTAGCCTCCACGCTGTCATCCATTGGCGGTCTCCAGTGATCAGACTGACGTGTTTCACATTTTAAAACAAGCAGCTACTGTCCTTTTTTAAGAGTCGTTATCTCTCTTCGTCCGCGTCTGTGGCTAAGGCGTTGCGCACGCACTTCGTAATGCCGGGGTGCCTGGTTCGATCCCAGCTGCCGGCCTCGCGCTGGTTTCCATAGAGGTATCAAATAACCTACCGTCCAGAAAGCCATGACAAACTACTGGACGTAAATGTGCCTAGAAAAACCATAACAGTCAATGCTGGGTTCTGCAACGTCCTGTAAAGGATACACAACTAACATTTTAATAACATTATCATTATCATCTATATTCAGCTTTAACTAATGCATGGGCTCGCGCGCAAGGATCTATGGTGTGAAATGTCTTTCTCAAAGCTTTATGCTGAATGTCGCATGTTGAGTTAAGAATCGACATCACAGCACTCGGGGCACCCCCATAAGCCCTCTGTCCCCATCTTCAGCAGAATTCCAACTCTGGTGGCACCAGTAACTGTCTGATTGCAGATCCGTCTCGCCTTTCCCTGAGTATTGAGCGTCGATCAGATTCCCTAGCAACTCCTGGCATTCTCCTCCGACCGTAATAACCTATCTGTGCCTCCGCACTGTTCACTCGTTCCCAAAGGGCCCTCACAATATCTAACTCGTCATTCATCAATTCCCCACCAAGTGGTGCAGAACCAGCCAGTCTATCTGTCTGCTCATTTCCCAACACGCCGGTATCACCTGGAGAAAATATCCAAAGTATGCTAACTACCAGAGACCTCTGAAGTGCCTGTCACTTTGTACGGAGCAAGCAGGCTCTAATCAAGTTGGGCGACATCTAGACCCTGTCTTGTGTAGACATCAGCCTAGACCCTGTCTTGTGTAGACATCAGCCTAGACCCTGTCTTGTGTAGACATCAGCTGCATGTTCTGGTCGCTGATGGCAGCATCCCGTCTCTTCTTGCTAGAGATCCTTTTGAGGACCAGGACGATGACCATCATCAGGGCGGCGATGTAATAGACGATTCCGAAGAAATGAAATGTTACAGAATAGCTGCCCGACAGGTCCCTGAGCAAACCTGGTATGGGAGAGACCAAATTAGATGAGTATGTCAACAAAGTGAAAAGAAAGATAGAACTTTACAAATACTCGAGAAAAAATTTAAAAACCCTGAGAGGATAGAGGTCAAGTTGAACAAAATATCTTTAGTTGAGAAAAAAAAAAAACAAGATTTTACTGATATTTATACGTTTTGACCGTTGCGCAATCATAAAGTACTGTTATCTATGTTAATCACAATGGGAATTGGTTTGAACAATGTTGGCCACGCTTTACATAACAGAAACAAGAAACCAAAGCCCAGCCTCGTCTAATCCTGAGTCCTGAGCTGTCTCGACCTGATTATATCCGCTGCCTCTCTTCAGATGCCAACTTCCGCGACCAATCTGAGACATCCCGCAGATTTCTGACCTTGGAGATGGACAACACGAGTGATGCAGCACATTCACTGTCCAGTTCAGTGGCTATACAGACTATTTTTCGAAACTTGGTTTAGAGGAAAAAATCCATTCATTACTATCTCCATGGCTGCGAGTGCTTTCTATCGCTACCTGATGGTCAGTTCATCGGATTTGAAGAAGTGAACCTTAGTCCCCCAGAGAGTTATCTAATCAACACACCAACCAACCAACCAACTTACCACAAGTATTAATGTGACAGGAACATAATTGTGCTTATACACACAAACGAGAAGAATTTATGAAGACGGAAGTTGTGAAAAAAGGTTTGTATATGGATAGAGACAAGCAGCTAATCCAACAATATATGCAGTACGTTGGGGTATTTTATACACGACTCTAATAGTCACCTACTGCAGCAGGTAGGCTTTTCTTTAGTACAGCTCTGACATACACTCACCTGGTGTAGCAAGTAGGCTTTTCTCTAGTACAACAGGGATATATACACCTGGTACAGCAGGTAGGTTTCTCTCTGGTACAACACGGATAAAGACACCTAGTACAGCCGGTAGGTTTCTCTCTAGTACCACACGAATGTAAACATCTGGCACAGCAGTTAGGTTTGTCATTAGCGCAACACGGATATAGACACCTGGTACAGCAGGTAGGTTTGTCATTAGCACAACACGGATATACACTCACCTGGTGCAGTAGGTAGGTTTATCTCTAGTACAACACGGATTTATACATCTGGTGCAGCAGATAGGTTTGTCTCTAGTACAGTACGGATATACACTCACCTGGTACAGCAGGTAGGTTTGTCTCTAGTACAGCACGGATATACACTCACGTGGTACAGCAGGTAGGTTTGTCTCTAGTACAGCACGGATATACACTCACCTGGTACAGCAGTTAGGTTTGTCTCTAGTACAACACGGATATACACTAACCTGGTGTAGTAAGTAGGTTTGTCTCTAGTACAACACGGATATAGACACCTGATGCAGCAAACAGGTTTGTCTCTAGTACAACACGTACATTCACCTGATGCTCTCTAGTACAACACGGATATAGACACCTGATGCAGCAAACAGGTTTGTCTCTAGTACAACACGTACATACACTGACCTGATGCAGCAAACAGGTTTGTCTCTAGTACAACACGTACATACACTCACCTGATGCAGCAAACAGGTTTGTCTCTAGTACAACACGGATATAGACACCTGATGCAGCAAACAGGTTTGTCTCTAGTACAACACGGACATACACTGACCTGATGCAGCAAACAGGTTTGTCTCTAGTACAACACGGACATACACTGACCTGATGCAGCAAACAGGTTTGTCTCTAGTACAACACGTACATACACTGACCGCTGAAGGGGTTGGAAGCTCCCAGGCTGAGACCAACAATCAGTACGTAAAATCCCAGCATTGGGCCCAACTTGTCCAGGCCGTAGATGTCAATCACCACAAGGCTCTGGAACACAGACAGTGACACGTTGTCTCGCAGAATGACATCATGACATGTCAAGTGACACATAGTCTCACACAGTGACATCATGACATGTCAAGTGACACATAGTCTCACAGAATTACATGATGACATATTAAGGGCGTCGTCGATTGGGTCTTTGGCATCCTGTGTCCCCCTCCCAGAAAATTGTAGCGGTTGGCGTAAAAATACTTAGATCCTCCTACCCTAGCAAATTTGAAATGAGACTAAATGACACCCTCCCCCCCCCCCCCCGACCTCCCCCTATTCCACCCCGCCCCCTCAACCAAGTATATTATTGTCTATTTCAGTATTTGCTTGCACGTTTCATATTATTTCATGTATAATGTTGAATAAATTTGTTAATCAGCATATTATTTTTAAGCAGTTTAACAAGGTGGACCCACCAATTAAACTCCCACCTAAAAAGTCTATAGCTGGCATGAGGACCCTATCTCATTCTTTCCCAAACTATCCGGCAATGTCTTCTTCGTATAGCTTCTTCCCCCCCCCCCCCCCCTTTTACCTTTTTCCCGCGGCACCTTCATATTATAGTCTGCAGACTGCAGATATTGCATATATTCACCAGCAAACACCAGTTGACATAAATGCATTTTCTATGAAAGAATATCTCAAGCGTGTGTGATTTTACTGGCTACACATCTGCTGTATGGTTTCACAGAACAGTCTGCACTGTGCTACTGCGGAGACATGGAAACAAGATTGTAAAACTTTGACTTGACAACGCTTCCAAAAATCGTATTGCTTTGCTACTATGTAATATACCACCGCTCCCTCTTTGAATTCAAAGCTATCCACTAAATTGTATGCAACAATTCCTGCAGACAAAATGCAGAGCAATGTCACTTTGAACTCCACCATCTAATCCCCCTATCTATTCACTGAATTATTTTGTTTTAACTCTTTCAGCACCAAGAAGCTATTAGTTTAATTCTTTTTTTGTCATTTTCAAGCAATAAATGATGAGATCTGAAAAACTGAAAGCTTTACACCCAGTTCCGTTCAGATATTGGTCTGCAACACATCGTTCCTCGTGGAGCCGAGTGGTCTCGAGGCATGGCATCCACCTCGAGTGCTGGAGGTCCAGGGTTCAAACCCCGGTGAAGGCTGGGGATTTTGTCACGTGGACTTCTAGTAATTCCCCCTAGTCTCTAAGCAGTAAGACAGGTCGCCCGTTTGTATTGTTGCGCACGTAAAAAATACCTTGGCAGTTGGAAGTCGAAAAAGAGTAGCCTAATGGCACTGCCGGAAATAAATTTGAAATTTAAAATCTAACCAAAGTATTTCAGGATCCTAGCCGGTGCAATGGAGTTCGTGCACTGTTCTGAGTACCTTCAGAATCAGGCATGAGTTAGAAGTAGAACGGGGCACTCAGAGGTTGCACCCGTGTGCCATGATGTTGATCCGTTTAATAAAGAAGAAACACGAATAAACATCGTTCCTAACTTCTGTTTGCATGTGTATCATGTGCTGCCACCTACTCTTCCCCCTCGTTATCAATCTTTACAGAACATCTTTCTCGTCACGGAACGACTAAAAGTCTTTCTCTAACCAGTTCTTCAGGCCTGAGTGATTTCATTGCCATTGTCTGGTATCCACATTTACGTAGGTCTACCTCTGCCTCGTTTTCCAGAAATAGTTATGCTATGTTATGTTATAATATCTTATGTTATCACAATCGACGTGCCCGCACACTGGACTGTCACATCGGTGCTCAGTCCTTCGATGCAGCAGTCACTCCATAGTCTTCTATAAATTGTTGCTATGACACGCTGGTTATATTGTCTCTTATCTCAGCTTTAAAAGGCGGCATAGATGTGCTTCACAAACTTTACTACCATGCCACGCAATCGTGTTAGCCTCTGAATTATCCACTAGTCCATTCCGCAGTCTTGGCGATTTGTGCTCTGTCCATGCTTCTTCGCAAATGTGCATTACTTGCCAGTTGGTCCGCTCGCTCATTACCCTTTACGCCAGCATGACCAGGTGTATAGATCCAAGTGAGAGAGGTTAAGTGCGATTTCCGAATTATTTCTACCCATTCAGAGTGCATACCGCCTGTTCCTATCTTCTGAAGCATGTTTATGAAGTCTGATACAATTACTGTATGGGGGGGGGGCAGGGGGGGGGGGGGGGGGTGCTGTTTGCTCAGCTGCCAATGCTAATAAATTAGAAGTAGCGGCTGTCTCCATGCATACGTCGTGCTTTACAGAAGTTCCCTGGTAAGCGCCACTGTCCCCTTGTATTGTTTTCCTCATCCTGTGTTGTGTATGTCCATGCTGACCTTCATGCGTGCTGCACTGATCCATCTGTATAGACGATGATGTCTTCTGGTTGTGAATGTTGATCTAACAGTGCCCTTATTTCTCTGTCTCCAGCCACAGAAATTTGAATCCTTGCAGTAGCTCCCCATTGTGATACAAAACCTTACAGGTGCCATTGATATCTACTGGTGTGTTCGTCCATTCTTTTCCCTGACTGATATAGTCTAGGTCGCACACCTGCTGGATTAAATCTTTAGCCTTGGCTATCCAGGAGCGGCGCTTTATGAGACACATTCCGTTGTGTCGTATATAGCTTTGTGTAGTGGGTGGTTAACGTCTGCCGGTACCTTTTCTACGTCTCGACCTGTGCAACTATTTCTCTGTTAGCCATCGTGGGCAAACTCAGGACATATCACATGTCGTGACAGGAAGTGTCATTTGTGCAGCCCAGTATGGGTCTCGTTTTGTACTCGGTCCAACTTCTCTGGCTTAGTTATGCTGACAGTGAGGAGGCCCTGACCACAGTCAATAACGCTTAATATAAGCCCTTGATAGAAAAGGAAAAGCAGGCCTTGTTTAATATTAACTGCTGCTAGCACCTTGAGTGCTGCCAGACCTTTCCTGGCTCTAAGTACGAAGTTTTTTCGCCAGGGACACAGATGAGTATCATTTTTCTATACATTAGAGTCCTATGTAGTCACTTCATAGTTAGAGCCTATTTGTGTATGTGTACTGTGTTGTCCTTTATGTGCTGATGAAGGCTAATCGCCGCAACGTCCTTTGTTTGTTTATTATGATCGATTTTGTAAAGCTAACATGAACTAATTGTTGTTTCTTATTAACTTTTTCTCTTTCCTATAATTTTCTACTCCTTTTAAAAACTGGCTCTAAGTATAACGTTGTCGACGTGATATTTGTATGACAAGCAACTGTCAAATGTCATGCATGTCCAGGTTATTCATCGTGTCCGTTCCATTGATGTCCACACCACACTTGCTTTAGACGGGCGTGAGTATACTGACAATTTGGGTGTTGAGAAAGAACTATGTTAAGGAGGCCTTTGATGGGTTCACTTGTGCTCTCATTTCCTGGTACCATTCACTGAGTCTGTCTAGTTCATGCTGTCATGTGGTTGTTATTTTGTGCTTGTTTCTATATAGACGGTACACAAGGATATCATTTGCCTACGACACTGTTCTGCCAAGGCCATAGTTTTGTGCACTCGGTGACTCGTGCTGTGTACACAATGAAGAGAACCTGCGACAACGATAATTCTGGGGCAGACCCATTAGGACGCGTTTAGGTTTCGACGCCCATGCGCACCACATCGTAGCGACACTTCTTTTTCGAATAGCGTTGCTGCGATCCAGTTGAGCCATTTGTTTCTAGGACGCTCTTCTACGCGTCTTCTTAGTCAACAGCGGATGCAGCCGTTTCCATTCCCTCATGAAAATCCTCGCACGGCAGCATTGAACCTCGTGTAGCGGGGAATAGACCACCTAACTCTAATGTTTGGATCAACGTTCTGATCTCGAATTGTTCTCCTACTAGTTCTTTTACAGTTTCGGAGTGTGATGATTCAGTAGTCATTTATTCTAGCGTTATCTTATCCCTGGCTTAGGAACGGGTCTAAGGGATCTATGGAGCCAGTAATCAGGGATAATGTCTGTTTTCAGGGTGTTGTTCAAAGTGCTGGACAGTTCATCCATATCTATCTCCTTAAGGCTTTTGACGTCGCTGTATCTAATGTCACCAGGCCCTGGAGCTATGTCTGGACAGGTCTTTAGTGTTGCTCTGATGCATTCAGTCGAGATGTATACTGTATCATCGTCTTTCTCCGTTTCAGCCATGTGGATATCGTGTACTCTCTGTTTCATCTGCTCCCTCTCATCCAAGTCTGTCTTTTCTGCAAAACAAACCTGTGTTAAGATAGCCGCCCCTTTATCTTCATCCCACTGTAATACCATCACGTTGTCCATCTTGACCTCAGGCATAACAGAGATTTGTTTTCCCCCGCTCATCTTGTAGTGGAGCCGCCAGAATTTTCTAATGATTTTTCATAACATATTTCATGGCACAAATGTTCCCACGTTGTGTGCTTAGATTGCACTGGGAGCTGTTTGAAGCGAGCCTGTCTTTCCTGTTTTTAATGTCGTATTTTCTCCTGAGCATCAGAAAAATTCGGACACTTTCTCTATTTCTGTACCTCCATTACAATTTTCTTGAGTGGACCCTGACGTTTAACATTGCCAACACACCTCAGCTTGGGGGAGAGGAAAGCCTGTTCTCTTTGATGCTTAGATTTTTAGGATGCTAGTGTTTTCCTTCAATGGATTGGAACAACTTTTCTGCAATTGTTCAATGGAAACGCTTTCACATTTTATTTTTAAATTTAAGTCGCATGAAAGTGCTGTCCCATGGCTTTTTAATGTCCTTTAGTCTTGGTTTTGCAAAAGCGTCGTTTTCTACTGAGCCTAAATGTGTAAAATCTGTGGCATTTTAAATCTCTTCATTGTCGATAGTAATATATGATTGGTGCGTTGTCTTCATTAAAGACACTTTTTCTTCCAAATTCAGAACAAAAAACTATGTTCTTTTTTACTGCTTTTTAACTGTCAGCGTTACTTCCTCTCAGTCCAGTACACTGTGGACTTAATCCTACGTAGGCATATATTATTCATGTGGACTAACCCTGGTCCCTGATACAAACAGTAAAACTGACGATGACTCACTTGCATGGTCCAGAAGGATCCGGTGAAGAGACCAATAAGTAGAGCCATGGCCAGGAGACTGCCAAAGTCATCGTAGAGCGCAGTGAACTGGTACAACGTGCCACATGCTACTAGTGGGGCTATTAAAACCGTGCACGGTCCCATGATTCCCAAGTGGAGAATAACACCTGTGGTCATGAACAGAACACCATTCTGACATTAGTACAGCTGACAGATCACTGAAGGAGTATCGATCGTGGAGAGAGGGATGGAGCAGCATATTTAGTTTACGCTACAGGTAAATGTAGGTCTAACAAAAGGAAGGGCACGGAGCGGGCGGGGCGGTACAACAGAAACAGAATACGAAGAAGATGCAGCAACTGAAACAGCAACTGTAGGACTATCAGTAATATAGTGTAGCAGCAGAGGATAAGGATGTATGCTCCATGTGGGGATTAAAAGCAACATTGTTGTGTAACTTGACTGTGCTGGGCGGTTCTCTGTTACTGCACACCGGTTTCCTTTGAATAGTACGGCTTAGCGGCATAAAGATGACGTTTATTTGGTAATCCAGGAAGTTTACCAGGTTGAACTCTGCGGTGGATTGTTATAAAAAAAAATTGTTCTCGAGGCTTTTATACAGTGGTACGAGCCTAACCACGTAATATTCCCTATAGTTGTCAGTGATTTCAGTGCAGACAACCCCGACTGTAGATTCGGCACAATGCTTGTGATGGCAGAACTGTGGCAAACACCCCTAACATTACATACGCTGTAAACAAGACGTAACGTAGTTTAGATAGGCAGGTCAAAGAAACAACTGACAGAAAGCCAACCTGAAGATACCCTAGATCAAGCTATTCAACTGGCGGGAAAGATCTTAAAGGCCCATAGAGGCCTAGCAAGTTGCCCGCTGATTATTGCCTATCGTATTGTATGACCTTTATTTGCTGGGGCATGTGAGAAAAGTGGTCCAAGGGACAAGAAGTGGATTTGGAACGAGTGGATCATTTACAGTTACAATGGTCTCGACATGTATGCACAGTGGGAAAGAATCGTCCACCATGGCAGGCATGGGAGGCTAAGAACGAGGGAACCAGATCTCCAGGACGACCAAGGGTGCGCTGGGAAGACAACATCCGACAGTCCCTGACTGACAGACGACTGCAATGGAACACAGTCAGAAAGAAAACTGCTCACAAGCGATGTCTCTGGTAAATCTCTACAAAGCAAGGTAGAAGAGGAGCGACTAAGTCAGTAAGTAAATGCCGGGGCTTAGTCTTCTGACCCATTTTCTTTCTTATTTCCCTCTGGCTGTAAGCTCCGGCGAAAAGTCCTGGTTGTTTGTCCCCTGGGACTTTGCCTTTCTTGTGCTAGGAAATCAGCCCTGCGTGTACATCTGTTTTACTGACTTATTTGTGTGCAGTTGGTTGTTCCTTGTCACTAAGGCAGATGCCGTCCGACTTCGAAGGAAGTCACAAATTAGTCGACTCCTACGACATGCTTGTTTGAGAGGCGGTGGGTCTAGTCTTGTTTTCCGGTCAATGGCACGGAAAGAAAATACACAAAAACATATGGTAATTGCATACATTTAAATATATACAAGCCAAATATGCATACATACATACATACATACATACATACATACATACATACATACATACATACATACATACATACATACATACATACATACATACATACATACATACATACATACATACATACATACATACATACATACATACATACATACATACATACATACATACATACATACATACATACATACATACATACATACATACATACATACATACATACATACATACATACATACATACATACATACATACATACATACATACATACATACATACATACATACATACATACATACATACATACATACATACATACATACATACATACATACATACATACATACATACATACATACATACATACATACATACATACATACATACATACATACATACATACATACATACATACATACATACATACATACATACATACATACATACATACATACATACATACATACATACATACATACATACATACATACATACATACATACATACATACATACATACATACATACATACATACATACATACATACATACATACATACATACATACATACATACATACATACATACATACATACATACATACATACATACATACATACATACATACATACATACATACATACATACATACATACATACATACATACATACATACATACATACATACATACATACATACATACATACATACATACATACATACATACATACATACATACATACATACATACATACATACATACATACATACATACATACATACATACATACATACAGACATACATACATACATACATACATACATACATACATACATACATACATACATACATACATACATACATACATACATACATACATACATACATACATACATACATACATACATACATACATACATACATACATACATACATACATACATACATACATACATACATACATACATACATACATACATACATACATACATACATACATACATACATACATACATACATACATACATACATACATACATACATACATACATACATACATACATACATACATACATACATACATACATACATACATACATACATACATACATACATACATACATACATACATACATACATACATACATACATACATACATACATACATACATACATACATACATACATACATACATACATACATACATACATACATACATACATACATACATACATACATACATACATACATACATACATACATACATACATACATACATACATACATACATACATACATACATACATACATACATACATACATACATACATACATACATACATACATACATACATACATACATACATACATACATACATACATACATACATACATACATACATACATACATACATACATACATACATACATACATACATACATACATACATACATACATACATACATACATACATACATACATACATACATACATACATACATACATACATACATACATACATACATACATACATACATACATACATACATACATACATACATACATACATACATACATACATACATACATACATACATACATACATACATACATACATACATACATACATACATACATACATACATACATACATACATACATACATACATACATACATACATACATACATACATACATACATACATACATACATACATACATACATACATACATACATACATACATACATACATACATACATACATACATACATACATACATACATACATACATACATACATACATACATACATACATACATACATACATACATACATACATACATACATACATACATACATACATACATACATACATACATACATACATACATACATACATACATACATACATACATACCATACATACATACATACATACATACATACATACATACATACATACATACATACATACATACATACATACATACATACATACACAGTCATACACTCATACACGTATCCTACCTGGCAACAAGCGCCCGATGACCTCCGTGGCCGCTGACATCATCAGTAGAAAGGAAGCCTTGTCGTTCATTCCTTTCTCTTTAGCCAGAGGAGGGAGAAAAATGGGCGGCAACCCGGATCCTGTTCCACCACAGGCAAAGAAGACAAGAAGGATCCAGAAGTGAAGAGTTCTGGTTACTGGCGGTAAACGACAGCGCCATCTTGTCTTACCCTTAGTGTTTTTGCCATCATCTACATCTGTATCGCTCAGCTCGTATCTGAAATTAAACCTACGAACATTATATGACCGATAATAAACTATATTAATAATCAGTTATGACCTGTTTAAGACGGGTTTTGAATAATGGACACAATTGTTAAAAACTTATATGGTAATAATAGTGGTTCAGAAACAAACATTTAAGATCAATGTGAAGGAACACTAGTAATGACAACAGATGTTGAAGATGCTATCATCATCAGGTAGCAGGTCCTTTGCAGAACGCCGCTCTTATCCCGGCCAGCCTGAAAGAAAATCTGTCTCCCGTCAGTTCTCCCGTACTTTCATATTCAAGGAGTCACTTTTATCTTGTGCCCATCTTCGTGTTGGTCCGTCTCTTCCCCTCCTTCCTGGTACCATGCCTTCTGCTATAATTTTTTTTTTCAATCCGCCGTGGTGTTTGATATGACTAAAATATTTCAGCTTCCGAGACAAGATACTGTTTGTTTACCAATTTAATCTGATTTTAAGATCTTTAAAAATGTCAGTATTTCTTCTCTTCTTTATCCATGATATTCGGATAATCTTTCTATAGCATTTCAGCTCAAAAGCCCCTATTTTCTCTCTTAAGGACTGAGAGATAGTCAGCAGCTCCCATCCGTATGTTGCTACAAGGAAGTTGCATGCTGTCAAAATTATAAACGTTTCCTCAAGGCTGGGCAGATTCACAAAGGTAGAATCAACAAAGACGCATACGCCCCATCTATGAGGGACTGTTTACTGGCGGTTGATCTGCCTGGCCATGAAAGGTACACTGAGTCAATTCGAAAGACCAGCATGCGACCTGACATAGTTCTCCACTCTGCGGAGAAACGGCAGCTCATCCTGATTGAGCTGGCCGTCCCGTATGAGTCGCGAATGGACGAAAGCCATATGTATAAGCTCGAGAAATACAGTGGCTTAGCAGCCGATCTGAGGAGAGACGAGGCGTACACAGTACGAGTCTTTGCCGTCGAAGTGGGAGCGAGAGGTCTCGTTTCCACTTCACTCTATAATGTGGTTAAAGAACTGTGATAGCGCGGTAATGAACGCAAACGGACACTTAAACACCTGGGCGAGGTTGCTGAGAGGGCCTCGAGCTGGCTCTGGACACAACGTAGGGGACGGGCCTCGGTGAGCTGGCCCGGGTGTCTAGTGGAAAAGAGTTTCTCATCCATCGAAAGTCCATCGTGTCCGAATTGTCTGCCAGTGTCCCTCTGCCACCTGCTAACAAAAGTCCAACATGTGTCCGGTATACCAATCGTAAGCTTGTCGCTCGGTCGTCCAGGTATGCAGACTGCTTTAATTATGCTACCGCGACTTCTTACCTCACAGTACCTTCTGCAAAATCACCGATTCGTCTTGTCCTATCCGATCAACATCCGATAATTCGTGCAGCAGGGGAAACCAACCCTGAGCTTCATGAACTCAGGTGGGCCCACTCTCTGAAAATGTCTAGGAGCTCGTGGGCCGAAACGTTTGTGGACGAGAGATTACTTCTACTGATGATTGGTAGACTCTTGCTGTACATGCTCTCGTGTGGAGTATCTTCTTATTCTGCCAAACTGCCTCCATTACTGTTTATTATAGAGCCTAGATATTCAAAGTTCGTGATATTTTCTTTTTCTTTATTATTTGTTGTTAATTGTGTGTGACAGCCAGTTTTGTCTGTGGACATTTTTTTCGTTTTCATTAAATTCAAGAATAGGTTTTGATCTTCTCTGTGTTTGTGGACAGACATGATGAAATGTTCTATTCTCTGTGTACTGTTCGAATGTAGGACTGTATTGTCTGCGTAGCGAAGCTCCGGAATAGGGTTGCCGCCAATTATGAGCGATTCATAACTTCCAGTAGTCTAGTCATTTTTTACATTTCTCATTAAGGTTTCACCATATTTAGTGAATAGGCATGGTGAGATAATGCATTCCTGCCTCACTCCCTTTTGTAACTCGAGCCAATCCGGTGTTTCACCAGCTGCTCTGATAACTGCTTGTTGTTCATGATATAGATTTTCTTTTTTCAATTAAATGCACGATATGCGCAGCAAACCCCATACTTATATTAATCCAAACTTTCTGATGTTGGAAACAATAACTTCCATTTGATTATGAATTAATTATGAAAATGAGATTAAGCAGACGTCATCCTATAGAGAAAATGTGGCGTCGTTCCTCTTGACTATTCTTGACAACTTTGTGGAATCACTCACCTGTGCATGTAACCAATTTGGTATATGTTCTACCACTAAATTTTCAAGTCGTCTCTCCAGTCGACGAACGTAAGGGAGCTGACACAGGTGTTCATTATGTGTTAATGTAACTCTGAGGTAACTCACCTGACCAGATACTACGAAATATGCGTGGCAATGAATTGTGCAATTTTTTGAGTGGGGCCACTTTATTTAAATCATGACCGAAAAATACGGTTTTGAAAAGAAAGTTGTTGGCGAATTGGGTTTATAATTTTTTAATGATGGTATATCCACAATGGTGGATCTACACCCTAAACATTGAACCCAAACAGAGCAGTATTTGAATACCTGTATTGTTTATTTACACTGCTTGTATTTTGTTATCAGTATGCCAGGTAGTTTATCTATGGCAGTGACAGGTCTGATTTGGGAATGACAACAGACTTGGTGGAGTAACTAGGGCCACCGCCCCCCCCCCCCCCACCCCACACACAAACAGTTGTAAAGCCAGTAAGGCTTCGGACATGATTTAAATGTAGGTTGTAGAACTGCAAGGACTGGTCATCGATGGAAGAATAACAAACAGTTGAAGATACTCTCTAAAGCAGGGATACCGTGTTAGCATATAAGCCAGCAGAAGTGGTAGGACCACATGCACAGAAAGCCTACACACCATCTCACATGATAGCAGGCTCACCGGAAGTCAAGACGGTCGACGACACAGTATTGACTAATCCTCCATTGACTGCTGATCGATTAAAACATATGCAGCCAAGACTACACCATAAAAACCATTTACCCTTATACAGAACAATACCCTTTTTTGTGGGGGAAATGCGGGTACTGACCTTTCTTGAACTGTAAAACTGTTTTATTTTCTAAATACCTATTCTGTTTTAAATGTGTGTTTGTGTGTTCCTCTTTAAAAAATTCCATTCTTTAAGTGCGGCAGAAAGATTGTTTATACTAAATAAACTAATCAATGAAACATTTAGGCTATTAAAGGCGTATAACAAAACACATGTTACAAATAAGCAAACAAGGAAAGTACCGTCCGTTAGATGGGCTTTGATTCCTTGCACAGGGAACTATTTTCTGGCTACTGACGTCGTACAAACTGCCATAGAGATCCGTGCCCGACGTGGGCAACACTCCCAGGACACTGTCTTTCCAAGAGTGAGCTTGTAACGGATCCTTCTGCAGCAGCGACATGTCCTGAGACGTTGCAGAGTTTCCTCGTTCTCTGAATTGTTTCGTTTTGTTTTGATTAGACATTTTAAGTTTTGATTCATTCGTATCGGATGAACGATTACTTATTGGATCTAGTGGACTCGAAGACTCGACACTCTCATCTAACTTCCGGTCATGGACGGAAGTGGGAATTTCCCTGTGTAGACTACCTTCCTCATTATCATTTCTTGTGGCCTCTTTCATATTGATATCACTGGAAACATGGCCCTTCTTGGAAGTTCCCGACTCAACAAAGGTGTACTGGCTGGGAGGGGTAAACAAGGAGACGAACACAGCCTGGTTAAACATGACAGCTGACAGAAGCATCAGCCCGCCACGAAGACCGTAGTTTTCCACAAAGTAACGCATGAGGAAGGGAAGGGTAACGCCACCAGCGCTGACGCCGCTGGCAGCCATGGCTGTCGATATGGCTCTTCTCGAATCGAAGTACTGGCTGATGATGATCAGAGATGGGCAGTAGATGAGAGCCAGACCAATACCTGAAACAGACATTTCAACAATAGGATATATGATGCAATAGATATTTCAACAATAGGACAATCACACACAAAACATTGTGACACACCACAGGCACACACAAAACATTGTGACACACCACAGGCACAGAATAAAGATTGTGACAAACCACAAACACAGAAAAAAGATTGTAACACACCACAAACACAGAAAAAACATTGTGACACACCACAAACACAGAAAAAACATTGTGACATACCACAAACACAGAAAAAACATTGTGACATACCACAAACAGAGAAAAGATTGTGACACACCACAAACACAGAAAAAACATTGCGACACACCACAAACACAGAAAAAATATTGTGACACAGCACAAACACACAGAAAACATAGTGACAGACCACAAACACACACAAATCCTACTGACACACTACAAATACACGTAAAACATTGTGACATACCACAAACACAGAAAAAACATTGTGACATACCACAAACACAGAAAAAAACATTGTGACACAGCACAAACACACAGAAAACATAGTGACAGACCACAGACACAGACACATCCTACTGACACACAACAAATACACGTAAAACATAGTGACAGACCACAAACACACACAAATCCTACTGACACTACAACAAATACACGTAAAACATAGTGACAGACCACAAACACACACAAATCCTACTGACACACTACAAATACACGTAAAACATTGTGACACAGCACAAACACACAGAAAACATAGTGACAGACCACAAACACACACAAATCCTACCGACACACAACAAATACACATAACACATTGTGACAGACCAGGAAAACAAAGACAGCATGACTCACCAAACAGCACTCCTTGTGTGAATAACAAATATCTAATGTCGGCCACTATTCCATTCAACAGAATACCCAGACTCTGCAGACAACAACCCAGCAGACAGCTTTGTCTGACAGAGAACCGCTTTAGCACCACATTAACCACCAGGAAGGCTGCCAAAAATCATCTCAATGTTTTAATCTTAAATATTAATAATAATAATAATAATATTAATATTAATATTAATAATAAAAATAATAATAATAATAATCACTGTGAACATCAATTTTTATGACAGAAAATATGGGTTTTTGAATTGAAATGTTATAGAAAGATTCTCAGAATACCTTGGACAAAGAAGAAAAGAAATACTGACATTTGAAAAGATCTGAGCATCGAGGAAGGTTGGCTCATAAACAGCAACTTGTCTCCGAAGCTGAAATATTGTGGTCACATCAAGCGCCATGGTGTATTCGACAAAACTATAGCAGAAGGAAGGAGGGCAGGGGCCGACTAACACGAAGATTGACACAGGATGTAAAAGAGTTTTTGAATTTGAAAGTATGTGAGACGGAAAAGCTGGTGACAGACCACAATTTTTTCAGGCAGACCGCGATGAAAGCGACGTTCTGTGAAGGACCTGTTACATGATGATGATCATCATTGAGGAATATGATACATAGGAAACGCCATCATTAGTATTTCCGTGGCGGAGCGGCTAGAAACTCGTCTGCGGATCGCCAGGTCGTGGGTTCGCTCCCTAATGGAGCCAGACTTTAAAAAAAATGTCCTTAGCTCCCAGATCGATCCAGCCTTGAGTGGGTACCGGGTGCAGTCCTAGTGTGCCTTTGGCCAAAAAATATAGGTCTAGCTCTATATACCCAGTACGTTTAAAGGCATGGAAAAGGGTCCTTTACTTTGTATCATCAGTCGTCAATGAAATGTTCAACATATTATTTTGCGCATGTGGATCCATACGGTACTCATTCACCGATACAAGTATTTGGGGAACTCTCATGTATGTTCCTCACAGTTTCCAATCCGACAAATGCACTTCTTTAAGCAGAAGCCACAATTCACCAGTCCCTATTGTCCTCTTCTTGCATTGTTTATATCAAACATAAATCTGATGTTATAAAAGTGAAAAATTAAAGGTCTCTTTATGCGTATTGGGAATATAGGGTTAGACCTATATTTTTATAGACAAGTCGGCACTCTGTTGGTGATGTGGTCAGCATCACGCCGGCCGCCTTTACTTCACAAGACTAAATCTGTTGTTATGGTAATACAAGACAATAACAATAACAATAACAAATACACTGTGGATGCATACATATGTGTACAAACAAGCAGGGAGTTTTCCTCCTGGTCTGCAACTGTATGCAGAACCAGAATCTTTTCTTTGGGTATCATCTTACTGTACTGCTGTAACTGACGCTTTAGGACCAGAACCGGCACCTTTGGTAGACATTTTCTGGTGAAATGTCATCACATTTGATTGTTCTAGAAAAACAAGCCGTAAAAAGAACTATGCTTTAGCTAGCGCTGTTCACTTTATGATTATAGCTGTTGTAGTAATCACAACGAGAACTTCTTCTCAACGTTCAGTAATTGTAAACTCTCGTGGAAATTTCTGGTTGTTCATCCAGTCCTGGAATTTGGTACTGATCCAGAATCTAAGTTTCGTATGCATAATCGTTTTACAAATCTATATTTGATTATAAGACTTTTTTTTTTTTTTTTTACTTTTTAGGCAGATGCACTCCGACATTGAAGGAAGCACCCTAATTAGTTGCCTATCGTGAATGGAGAAAAGGTGGGGGGGGGGGGGGAATTTTTTGTTCTTCAAGATATAGCCCTGAAACCCATAAAGGAACAAACAGAACTAATCGCCTTCATTAGATTATCGCACACTGTGTGGCTCGTGAGAGGAGGTTAACTATAGCACCTCATGACAATGGCTACGTTGAAGGGAAAGAGAGACAGGCAGAGACCAAGAGAGAGAGAGAGACAGAGAGAGAGAGAGAGAGAGAGAGAGAGAGAGAGAGAGAGAGAGAGAGAGAGAGAGAGAGAGAGGATGCAGTACAGTTTGGTTCAATGACATGGAAGAATATCCGTGTCAGAAATAACTGGAAGACATAATCTTGTGTACGAACATGTTTACCGACACCACACGGCTTAGTTTACAGCTGTTGTAAACACGCAGAGCTTTCTAAACTGGGTGTCGCGATACACTAGTGTGTTTGCTGCAGCTTGAGAGTGTCGCGCAAAAAGTTTGTCACCAACATCAGAAGTGTGAACGCTCTGCTGTAGTAGGAGGCATGCCGTCACTAGGATAGTACTGACATTGATGGCTTTTGTATATGGGTTGTGGTATCGCTGATTGGCTGTGGAGAACTTTTGCACAGTTGAGCTGCGTTTTACGTTCAGCTGGTTTCGTATAAGTCTATATTACGCTTGTTGAAGTTAAAGTCGATAGGATCAGCTTTCTTGCAACCAGTTTATTTCATATGGCCAGGGCTCTCTCAGCAGAACCGTTTGCTGGTTGCCGAGATCCTCACAGACAGCACCAGAGACCCTCACAGACAGCACCAGAGATCCTCACAGACAGCACCAGAGATCCTCACAGACAGCACCAGAGATCCTCACAGACAGCACGAGAGATCCTCACAGACAGCACGAGAGATCATCACAGAAAGCACGAGATATCCTCACAGAAAGCACGAGATATCCTCACAGAAAGCACCAGACATCCTCACAGAAATCATGAGAGATCCTTACAGAAAGCACGAATGTCCCAACGCTATCCCCAGGAATCTCAGTAAAATGGTGCTCAGAATCGCGGACATGAAAAAGCAGCTGCAAACTTACACCACACACAAAAAAGAAGGAAGATGGAGAAAATGAGAGATATACTTAAAACTACATTAGATGCCCAAAGACAGGTAGCGACTGAGGCAATATCAATGTAAGAATTAAAGGCAGAGATTGTGAGAATGCTCAGAGATTTAATAGTGCTACAATAATCAGTCGACACTAAGGTTGTAAGACCTCTCAAAACAGACAAGAAAACTAAAGAGACGAAAACAACGAAGCCAAAGCAAAGACCAGGTGAGAAAGGCAAAGCAACGGTTCCTAAGAAAACTATAAAAGAGCTGGTGAAGCGATTAAGACAGACTCTGGATAAGTAGCACGAAGAACAACGTCAACTGGCGGCCTACCGGTTCTACAACGAAGCAATAATCCAAAGGAAGAATACAAGAATTTACCTAGTAGAGCGGAACTTTTAACAAGCCTGCATAAGGGTGTGTTGCGTGCTGATTTGGGAGAGTGTAATATTGTGTGAAGGGACAGAGTGGTATGTGAGTACTTTCTGTGAGTTCATGGGAAAATAGTGTCAACATTGGCCGAGTATTGATGAGAAAATTTTGACCAGTGAAAATGTCATCATGAACGAGGTGTGCACGCACGAGAAAGTAGACGCGTGGCCTTACTGTGTGGGGGTTGGCAAGCATGGATAACAAGACCCACAGAGAAAGGGTGTATTACGGAACAGCGTGATTCTCATGTGACATCAGCTACTCACATAAGTGTGATCCTCGAGAACGCTTCCTTGAACATGAGTCTCGAGAACACCCACACGAGCATGTTTCCCGAGAACGCTCACACGAGTGTGCCTCTAGTGTAATCTACATGAGTTGGACAGGGATAAATTGGGGCTGCGTAGACAGTCCGAGTCAGTGAGCTGTAGCCACCGGGCTAAAGCACTGGGGTAGTACGGCTGTAGTACACACCCAGCACGAGTGTGCTGCGAGGCAGTCTGAGTCCGAGAGTCAGAGCAAGACTGAGAGAGAGGGAGAGAGAGAGAGGGAGAGAGAGGGAGAGAGATAGGGGGAGAGAGAGAGAGAGGGAGAGAGAGAGGGAGAGAGAGAGGAGAGAGAGAGAGAGAGAGAGAGAGAGAGAGAGGGAGAGAGAGAGAGAAGAGAGAGAGAGAGAGAGAGAGAGAGAGAGAGAGAGAGAGAGAGAGAGAGAGAGAGAGAGAGAGGGTACTAAGTCAGGGTCATTGATTATCTCTCTCGAGTATAACATACAAGAGTACCGTACAACCGTAGGTACGACTATCAGGCATTAAGGTCTGAGTACGTGATGTGGTTGCGGTACTGGTCGAAGGTATAGTCCCGGTGGCGAAGTAAGACCAAGGGGACGGGATGATCTAATAGTAACTGTTCTGGGTGACGACGCAAGGAGACGTAGAGTCACTACGGAAACAGGACAGTGGGGATGCCGACAAGAGCTGTGTGCTAGAGGTGACCTGTGTTAAAAGTCTTGTCGGTCATCGTAGCCCTTCGACAGGCTGTCGAGAGCTGTGTGCTAGAGGTGACCTGTGTTAAAAGTCTTGTCGGTCATCGTAGCCCTTCGACAGGCTGTCGAGAGCTGTGTGCTAGAGGTGACCTGTGTTAAAAGTCTTGTCGGTCATCGTAGCCCTTCGACAGGCTTCGAGAGCTGTGTGCTAGAGGTGACCTGTGTTAAAAAGTCTTGTCGGTCATCGTAGCCCTTCGACAGGCTGTCGAGAGCTGTGTGCTAGAGGTGACCTGTGTTAAAAGTCTTGTCGGTCATCGTAGCCCTTCGACAGGCTGTCGAGAGCTGTGTGCTTTTTGGAGTACGGCAAGGGAAGTCCGTCTCCAGTCAGCTGTGGCTGCCTGTTGAAATAATATTTAAGGTCCAGTGGATGGGAGAATTGGTCTTATTCAGCTGTATGGGGTGCCCAGAGTTGTGGACGCTGTGGGCCTCTGGAGCTGTAGAGGTCAAGGACCGGCCGCTACAAGTTGTGAGAGAGCGAGTGATGACTAAATGGACTATGGGCGAATGTCAATTAGGATCAACAGCTACGTCGCTGCAGTTGTGTCATGTAACCTGTTGAATAAAATGTATGACGGAGTCATTGTCGTCGAGTTCTGTTTCTAAGAGAGGAAGCGAAAGTTGTACATGCTGGACACTTGGTAGTGCGCTGGCTAGTTGTAGCTCAGCACACAACAGAATGACGGCATGGAATATCTCATGTGGAGACACAGATGAAGGCAGCATACAGAGAACTTTGCGAATGCCAGAGCAAGATCAAGACAACAGCTGAGATCCTTCTCGTTTATGCCGTGTAGTGGAACCACCCGGATATCACAAGTGGGAACAAACCACATGATTGACTTCAACAGAGCGACCACAATAGCAGATACATTATGGAAATGAAACAGAGGACAGCAATCAATGGCAGAGATGATATAATCCGACAACATAAAGAGCATTTAACTAACCAATCAGCACTAAGCTGACGGCCCCACAAACAACACGCAGAAAAACCTAGCGCAGCAGGTATGGGAGCTATAAAACAAAGAAACTCACAATGAAATAAGAGGTTGAGTCTCGACCTAAAAAATTGGCGTCCTTTTTAGGGTAACATTTTTCGTTATTTGAAGCCCCATCCTGGCTTTTGCCAGGGGCCGCAATATAGCCAGGCCATAAATATGGTCTAATGGCTGAACGCGGTTTCTGGGACCTCTCCATGGTGATCCTCATCCACATGGTGGCACATTGTGACATCGGGTGTTTATCGCTTGTGTGATGTCCTAGTGGGATAGAAAGTCAGTCAGTCAGTCAATGAAATAAGAGCATGAACAGGAGCCACAATTATAACTAATGTTATCTAGGAGAGGGTAGCTCCCTGGGTAGCGGTTGAAATTGGTCAATTAAAATTGATGATGACGATGATGTTAAATCGGGACCCAGGTTATGTTCTTTGTCGCCAAGAAATACTCTTAAGGCGTGCGTCTCTTATAGCTTCTGACAACAAAAGGCCTTCTAGTGACGAAGCTGCGGAAACAGATAGAGAAGGGGCGAAAGCAGGTCTCTGGCGCTATACCCAGCTGCTTCTAGCAGGCAAGCTCGTCAGCAATGGAGTGCAGCTCATTTAGGAGAAGAAAAATCCTTATTTTAAACCTCAACAGCCTTGTGGCAATAGCTATTTTTGCGGAAACTGCATCCGGGGTAAACACCAAGGAAAAATCTAAGGGGCAGTTCACAACCTTATTTGTGTGACAACTTAGTCATCCGTTGATCGTCAATTGTTGCTGTTAAAGGACACACCAAGGGCAGCCGCGTGAAGACTGGTCTTCCCTTAAAGGAAGGCAGGGGCAGTTTATGTACATTCTAAACAATCACAGCAGGCTTCCGTAAACGCAGAGCCTTAACCACGGCGCTCTGGTACTGGGGTCACGCAAGGAATCCTCAACGTCCTGCACATCACTGCTTAACCTCACATCCGTGTTGTCTTAGCTAACAACGCATTACGGGTTTCACCCATTAGGGATCCCCAGCTAGCAGTTCACACATCTGATGCCTTCTCAAAATGAGCGTCTTTATCCGTCATCATCAGCGTGCGACGACGTTGACGTTTTTAATGGCCACATGCTGAGGGAGATACTGAAGATGGGATCCAAGCGCTTATGGACTAACGAACTTACTTACTTGAGATACTGTAGACACAGAACTGAACTCCCACGACTACCGCCGTCATGGCCGAGCTGGCCTCGAACTTGGCCTGAAACTCCAGAAACAGGATACCGAATGACCGGATGAAGCCAAATGACAGGAAGTGGACGCCGAAGGAACCTGGCCAGATTGAATTTGAAAGGTTAGTGTGTCGTCTGCTCCTTGAGGTTCACTGCATTAGATGGAACACATAATAAGACTATTTGTTCTTCTGCATCTGACAGTGCAAATAATCGTATGTTTCTCGACTCGTATATTGATCTATGGGCGCCGCGTTAGCGCAGTCTACAAGAGGCTCTCTCTTTCAAGTAAAGCTGCAACTCGCTGCAGCCAGGGTCGGTGTTCGAAACTGGGCGGTTTCATGAGTTCACCCAGCCTCTAGGAAATGGGTACCAGAGTTCACACTCTGGGGTAAATTGGAGGAACGTCGCTGTAGCTACAGAGTTACGTGTATACGGCGACACAGGCGGACAATTCTTATCCGCTGTCCGTACTGGTTGCAGAGCACTTATGGTTTATAACCGTGTGCAATGACGCTGGTTCACATCTCCCGACTTTACCTTTACCTTTTATTGATCTATGTAAGTGAATAATAATAATAATAATAATAATAATAATAATAATAATAATAAACAAAGAACTTTAATATGGCATGGCCGCATTAGGCATATGATGCTAGGCTCTAGACAGAACAATTGGTGCTCGCTGAATGATGAGCTCAGCACGAAGCCGGCCACCTTAACTTCCCGGACATTTCCTGGTGCCAATGTTAGGCTAGTCTGTATGTAACCCTACATTCCCAATGCATCTGAAGGCTTGGGGAATGGTCCTTAATATGTTCAAAGACATGGGCTCCAATCACTGAACCCAACAGCAATGTTGCATTGACACTATTTATGTAGCCGCCATGAGGGCGTGGTGGTACAAAGGATCTGCAACATGAAGATGATGGCATCACATACAACTGTACAGTATATGAAGATGTTAACAACACAAGGACTTACGACATGTACAATTTAATGTTCTGTTATTGCTAAATCAAAAGTTTTTTTTTTTTTTTTTTATTTGGCGCCTTTCCACTTTTCTAGACGATATTTCTTTTTTGTGCTTAAAGGACGCACGATTATCTTTCCCGGTACCACGCCCTTCTCTACAACTCTTTCCAATCCACGTAGCTCTTGGCGCTGTCAACGTATTTGGGTTTCGGAGACGAGATGCAGTCTACGAGCCAATCTTCATTTATGTTCATAACTTTCATAACTGCAGAATTTCTGGTCTTCTTGGTACATAGTATTCTGATAATCATTCTATAGTTTTTTATCTCAAAAGCCTCAATTTTCTTCCTTACTGATATCATCTACAGACATGCAGGTTATTTTAACTGTGATGTAACACATGACCTACCAAACATCACCACCCAAGCCCACCCGTGATCCACCGGGTGAGCAGACCTGGACGTGTACACCACCTTTGAAGAGTTGCCAGACTGGACACTGTCTACGTCATCAGAAGTCTCCATGACCAAATTTCTACCAACGGCCCCATTGCTTCTGGGCATTGCCATGGTTACAGCTGATCGCTCCTACAATCATAATTGCATTGTTATGTTGTTTAGTTACATAGTTTGGTAATGGCGTGATAGAATACACTATAAATGTAAAAGAATCCATACACTGACTTACAGACTATTCAAGAATGGTTACTGAAAAAAAGTCGGGGGGGGGAGGTTGGGAAAGGAGAGGGGAAAAAGGCTGTGGGGGAATGGTTCCTGGGATATGGGGGTGGGGGGGAAGAAGAGCACAGAGTGGGCTTTTTAGTCCGATTCACTAGATACATTATTCATTCATTTCTGCTTTCACTGAAAAAAGGGGACCGAGCACGTGGGGGAATGTCCTGAGTGCAGTGGTGTCGATTCATTCATTCATATTCATTCTTCATATTCATGCATTCCTTTATTCCTTCATTCATTTATTCAGCATGATTCTTCTTTTATTACCATTCCTTTATTATTTCATCATTGCATTCCTTAAATCACTTTATAGATAACTCCTTTGACATACCCAGACACAATGTTTAAAGAGCATGGAGACAATTCATTACTTTCAAAGAGACAAACTATAATGTATGTTAACAAATCTAGCCTGATTTTTTCGGCATGTTCGAACCAAATGTAAAATTACATAATTACACACCATTCTTGGTTTGATACACATTGGTTATTGCTGATCACACACTGTGCGTTGGTTCGTACCGAATGAGTTAAGGTTGTCATCAATGAAAACAATGTCTGGAACATCTAGAACACATAAAGTAGTCATGAGTTCAGAACCTTTTCAGAATGAGATGACTGTTCTGTAAACACTTGTCTTGTATAAGCAAAAGGAAAGGACATTTTTCAAGCCTTTCTCACAATCGGCATTTCATGCTATACTCAAATATGTAAAGACCAACTGGTCCTGTGGGAGAGGGGGGGGGGGGGTGAGAGGGAGGGGGGTGGTCAACATACACTGACCGCCTTTACCTCCCATGATATTACCTGATGTCAGGCTAGGTCGAGCTGGGAGTTACATTGATTTTTGAAGACATGTCCGCCCCGATGTGGATTCGAAGTCGAGATTTTTATAAAAGGTAACCTCAAGCATTGCAGGATGTAGAGTCTTCACATACACTTTACTAACGGCAACCGCATGCAAGGAAGTAGGCACAATTTAAGCATACAGTTTATTATAAGCAACCTAAAAAAAAACGTACAATTTACTACAATTAGTCCTCATTAAAAACGTACAGCCCGCACATACACTTTAACAAACTGACATGCACACGAGTTACCTGTTTCTCTGCAGCTAGGTCCGCCTACAGCTGGCTGCATCTAAACTTTCCGAACCCGTGTTCATTCTGTAGGCATTCAAGAGACACGGTTCAGTAAACCGGTGATGTGTGTGTGTGTTTTTTTTAAAATAATTAATGAGAAACACAGTAATGTCATGGTGAACAGTTAAATGCAGTCCAGGTAGCACCCTGGGTAGAATATGTGCCTGCCAGGAACGGGGGAGTTGGATTGAAACTCTACTAACAAGGATCGGAACTAACTGACATGGGATTAGTGATCACCCCATACAAAAATTGTTACTAACAAGTGGGCTGCCACAAAGTTGACATCTGGGAGTGTTGGGGCCGGGGGGGGGGGGGGTTACTTAACCCCAAACCCTACCACATTTTGTAGTTAAAAAGGGAGCATAAACCCACACAACTCCTCCCCCACGCCCATTAAAACACTGGGGAAAAAAGGGATGGGGTGAAACTCAGCTACACATTCGCAATACAGGACACGTCATGTCTTTAAATGCACAATACATGACACGTCATGTCTTTATATGCACAATACAGGACACGTCATGTCTTTATATGCACAATACAGGAAACGTCATGTCTTTATATGCACAATACAGGACACGTCATGTCTTTATATGCACAATACAGGACACGTCATGTCTTTATATGCACAATACAGGACACGTCATGTCTTTATATGCACAATACAGGACACGTCATGTCTTTATATGCACAATACAGGACACGTCATGTCTTTATATGCACATTACAGGACACGTCTTCTCTCTACATGCACTGTAAACTACACGTCGTGTCTTTACCTGGACCCTAAAGGCCATGCACAATTAAGGACATGCCATGTCTTTACACGCACTATAAAGGAATCGCCATCTCTTTTAAAGCACTATAAAGAAATCGCCATCTCTTTACATGCACTATAAAGGAATCGCCATGTCTTTACGTGCACTCTAAAGGAATCGCCATGTCTTTACATGCACTCTAAAGGAATGGCCATGTCTTAACATGCACTCTAAAGGAATGGCAATGTCTTTACATGCACTCTAAAGGAATCGCCATCTCTTTACATGCACTCTAAAGGAATAGTCATCTCTTTACATGCACTCTAAAGGAATAGTCATCTCTTTACATGCACTCTAAAGGAATAGTCATCTCTTTACATGCACTCTAAAGGAATAGTCATCTCTTTACATGCACTATATAGGACACGTAAATTCTTTAAATGCACTATAAAGGACACGCCGTGTCTTTAAATGCATTGTAAACCACACATCATGTCTTTACATGCTCTATAAGGGACACGTCATGTCTTTGTCATCATTGGCCCCTTTCTGTCTTTCCAGACGATAGTGTTATATCGCGCTATGAGGAGGCATGAGACTCACAGCCCATGGCGATGGCGAGTATGACTAGCAAGACCTGCCCGTGTCAAGAAAAGTCTTCCACAATGATAGCATGGGATTTCAGGACCATTGTTGTCACGATTTGTGTTTAACCTGTTTCTTTTCAGACGCTCAGCTTTCATCCTTTCTGCAATCATTTCTTTCCTTCAGTCTCAATCCCTTTCTGATATGCCCTTTCCACACAACACGGCCCATGGCATTTTATTCCCATGAGTCCAGCCTTAATACCTGTATCATTCATGTCCCGCTTGCATACATCTTTATACCGTAGTAGAGGTTAGCCTCGACATCTCTTCCTGTCTTAAATTCACCATAAAGGATGTCCTTAGGGACTCCGCCATCCTCCATTCTCCAGGTGTGACCCAGCCACCTGAGCCTTCGTAGACTGAGCATTGAATAGACTGTTGTAGTACCTGCTCTTTCCAGTACCCCAGTTTTTATGATTTTGTCGTGCCACTTAATGCCAAGTATTCTTCTTAGGCAATGCACGTGAAAGCTGTTAAGCCGTCTCTCCTGGTGCGAATAAGTTGACCAAGTTTCACTGCAATAAAGCAGAGTGCTGAGAACACAAGCCTGATAGACAAGGGTTTTTGTTTTAATTGTGAGCTTTATGTTCTCACAAACTCTCTGTGTCAATCTGCTCATTGCTGTTGCTGCCTTACCTATCCTGATGTTGATTTCTTGGTCCAGCGATAGTTTACTATTCACTGTGGAACCCAGATAGGTAAAAATGGTTTACTGCCTCAAGCTCTTTGCCGTCAATGTAGACTGTAGGTCTGTCATTACCACCTTGCACCGTAACCTTTGTCGTCATTTTGCTGACTGTTAGTCCAAATTCACAGCACGCATCAGCAAAGGCAGACAGTAAACATTGCTGTTCCTCCTCTGAGTGGGTGGTTACTGCTACATCATCAGCAAAGGCAGACAGTAAACATTGCAGCTCCTCCTCTCAGTGGGTGGTTATTGGGGCGTCATCTGTAAACAGCAGCTCTCTGATAAGTACCTTTCTTATCCTGGTTTTGGCCTTCCGCCTGTGAACCTCATGTCTTTACATGCACTATAAATGACACACTATGTCTTTACATGCACTATAAATGACACGCCATGTCTTTACATGCACTATAAATGACACGCCATGACTTTACATGCACTATAAATGACACACTATGTCTTTACATGCACTATAAATGACACGCCATGTCTTTACATGCACTATACATGACACGCCATGTCTTTACATGCACTATAAATGACACGCCATGTCTTTACATGTACTATAAATGACACACTATGTCTTTACATGCACTATAAATGACACGCCATGTCTTTACATGCACTATACATGACACGCCATGTCTTTACATGCACTATAAATGACACGCCATGTCTTTACTTGTACTATAAATGACACGCTATGTCTTTACATGCACTATAAATGACACGCCATGTCAATAAATGCACTATAAAGGACACGCTATGTTTTTACCTGAACTATAAAGTATACGCCATGTTTTTACATGCACTATAAAGGACACGCTATGTTTTTACCTGAACTATAAAGTATAAGCCATGTCTTTACATGCACTATAAAGGACACGCCATGTCTTTACATGCACTATAAATGACACACCATGTCTTTACATGCACTAACAAGGACACATCATGTCTTTACATGCACTATAAATGACACGCCATGTCTTTACATGCACTATAAATGACACGCTATGTCTTTATATGCGCTTTAAATGACACACTATGTCTTTACATGCACTATAAATGACACACTATGTCTTTACATGCGCTATAAATGACACGCCATGTCTTTACATGCACTATAAAGGACACTCCATGTCTTTACATGCACTATAAATGACACGCCATGACTTTACATGCACTATAAAGGACACGCCATGTCTTTACATGCACTAAAAATGACACGCCATGTCTTTACATGGACTATAAATGACACGCCATGTCTTTACATGCGCTATAAATGACACGCCGTCTTTACATGCACTATAAATGACACGCTATGTTTTTACCTGAACTATAAAGACCATATCATTTCTTAGCCCTGACCTGAGGGACATATAATGTTTGACTTAGACTTTATTAAAAACATGTCACAGAGCGCTGGAATTGTTCAACATTTAACTCGGTCAGACAGACACCAGGTAGGTCAGTCAGACACCAGGTAGGTCAGTCAGACACCAGGTAGGTCAGTCAGACACCAGGTAGGTCAGTCAGACACCAGGTAGGTCAGTCAGACACCAGTTAAACAATAACAACCCATCCTATCTTCAGCGCACCG